ACAATAGAGTCTACATTTACATGTACTGCGACCGGTATCTTGTGAGTGTTGTTCAAATCTGTCTTGAAAGTGGGAAATAATCTTGAGCCTGTGAGCACGTCTTGCTTTTTTTGGTTGTTGAAGTTATTTTCGTTACATCCTTCCTCAGAAGCATTGGGCATGTGCCGGTACATATAGATTCCTTCAGCACAACATACTGAACAGGCACAACACGCATTAACTGGATTTGATTATGACAAGAGTTGATTTGTACACTTACATAAGTGCTGTCATTCTGTAGTCAACATTTTTGACAGTTGCTCCTAAGTGTTTGCATGTATCTTGCTGTTGGTCTTTGAACATATCTTAAAAGATGCCAGCTTTTTTGACAAGATACTTACTGTAGTAAGTCTTCTCACTCTCAGTGCTGTTTTTAGGTGGAATCTTTTTTCAACACAGAAATTTTTTAGGTCAGTATCCCTGTACTGCCTTAATTACATTTACTTGTAGTTCTAAATTGAAAATGGAGTGTGACTGATGTACATGTACGTGTATTCCTGTAAATGAACCAATTTTTTTTCCAACCATTTTTTTTTTCAGTGTACATTTTCTTTGTTCCTTGGTAGGACTCATCTACAAGCCCAATGGCAGGGAGGCTGCAGGAACTCTACGAGTCCCTTCCCAGCCCTACAGAGCACTGGGAGCTGTTAGAGTCAATTGGGGAGGGTACCTACGGGGGTGTCTTCAAGGTGCGCAACTTAGAGACAGGGGAATATGCTGCAGCGAAGAGTAAGTTTAGATGCCACACAAAGCTTAGTAGGGGCAAGAATATACACATTTGACCAGTTCTTATAAAAAGAACGCAAAAATTTGACCGTATTTTATAAAACTTTTCAGACTTTGTTGGTAACATGTACGCATTAGAAAAAATCATTCCCAGCTTGCCATTGGTGCTGATATTTATTGCTGTGTCCACATTGGACATTTCCTGGCTACTTTTTCAATTTTTTTCCATTAGGACGTCATGGGAAATAGCCAAAGCCATTGGACACTGTCTATTTCTCAAGCACACATAGTGACGAATGTGGACGTGGTGATGGTTAAAATCTTCTCAGTTGACATTAACATCCATTGTGTGTTTGTAGTCATGGATGCCGTTACGGACATGGAGGAGGAGATCGAGGCTGAGTATCAGATCCTCAGGGACTGCTGCGACCATGGCAACTTGCCACACTTCTTCGGTGCCTTCTATAAATCCACACCCAGTACCAAGCACAATCAGATATGGCTGGTTATTGAGGTATGTACGCAAACACACGGTACATGGTGCACTGACTCAAGATCACATTTCACTGGAAAAGTGGACAGCTTCTCACTTCAGGATAAACATTGCACATAAAATGTACGCAAGTCTGTGGTGGGCATTGGTACATGTACTTGTACCTCAGTCTGGAGTCTGCAATTTTTCAAACTTTCAGAAAAGAAGAAAGTGCTCATTGCACATAATATGTACATGTAGTTGGAGCATCAATAGAGGTAACACTGTCAAATTCTTTTTCAGAAAGCTGTAAGGCTTGAAACTGCCGCATGGTTGTTGTGCGTCTACAGTACATGTACATGTACTAGTGAAGGTTTGCGTTAGCACAGTATGACTGTCTTTTGGGGGAAGATGTGTGGTTCAGTTTCCTGGAGATGATCAGAGAATACTGACTCAACTCGCCGGTTCTTTTCAGAGCCACGCATCCCAAAAGAGATAATCACATATCTTCACTGGTGGAAAGTTGTACTTTCTTCAATTATTTTGAACCCTTACATGCATATACAGTTGAAATTCTACATTTTTTTCCCCCACGCAAACTGTTACTTACAGCCAGTCTATACCCTGAATAAAATAATTATTTTGTGCTACTTCACTACACACATACCCATGAAAAGCAGTTTAATGTTATGGACTGCCATACAAAGGAAAGAGAGCTAATAGATTGTTCTTCATAGTGTTTTAATTCAGTATGGGATAGTGGAATATCACAAACACCAAGCTTACCAAATCATGGTACACTGGACTTTTTAAAAACACTTTCTTAAGACTCATTTCTTCTCTTCTTAACATCCACTGACTGGTCATCTGACCGTCTTTGAGCATCTGATCCATACTTCGCTATACATCTCATCGGACTTAACCCTGATTCGATCATTAAATCAGATCATCTGATCAAAAAATTCGTACAAAAGAAAAAATGAAACATAACAATGACTGACTTGAAATAGGCACTAATGATTTTGGATGAGATAATTATAAGTACCAACCTATATATGTCATCTGACCATCAAAAATCTTCTAGTCTATAGTCTGTTATACATCAAGTTTAGATTAAGCTCTCCAGCATCAAGAAAGGCTGATTATAATCCGTAATTAAATACTGATCATAAGCTCGGACCATCTGATTCACACGTTATCAATACGGGACCTCGGCTGATGTAAATCTGTTTTATTTTTTTAACACTGGATTAGTCATCTGCTTTTCTCAAATCATCAAATCTTTATATGTAGAAAAGAACGCTAACTGGCTAAAAATTAGCACTATTACACATAACAAGCTGTGGCCGGGAATAATTGCAGAGCACATGAAGAATTTTGTCAATGCTTACTCCTTCAAAAGTGCAAATGACAATCAAATCTTTCTCTAGTCTGACATATGTATTTTTTGCCTCAAGGTCTTCCATCGACCATGTTGCATAATTAATGCTTCAGGCACATGTTTGTTTGCAAGATGAGAAGCTCTACCAGATCGCAGACTGTGTAGGCCATATTCCTTAGGATCATTTACACCTATGCGCCCTAAGGCCTCAAGAAATAACTCTTGACACCTAGTGTAACTTACAGTTTAAGGGTCTGTTAGCCCCAACTAAACCTTGTACGTTTTTGAGCCAGAAAAAAAAAATGTAACAGGTGTGAACAAGTATTTGTCCTGACCAAACTGTATACCAGATGCATTTAGATATCGACGCAACATTTTAATGGGTGAATAATTCTCCAAAGTGTCACACAAAAAGGCAAAGCTACAGTCTCTAAAAATATCAGTTTTGGATTTGGGGATGAAGATGGAAATACCCTTTTTGTTATCACTACTAATCTCAGTTAACTGATTGGCTTTCATACCGGCCATCTCATTATGTCGAAAGAGGAGAGTGTACTTGAGAGAGACGTAACAGGCAGATCTAATGTACATGTAAGATCTAAGAGCAAAGCCTCCAGACTTTGCAAACAGATCAATAATTGCTTTGACCTGAGTGAGCGAAATTGGGTGTTTTTGTACAGGTGGATGGTGGAGGTCGCTTCTACAATGACATGTTGGATGACGGGTGAATCAAGCGGGTTGGTTTTTTAATTGAGTTTGCGGCGGTGGAAATCAAAGACTATCAGAGTTCAATTGCGATTTTGTTCGGGATAGATAGGATGCCAGGACTTGTTCAGAAATTGGCAGCACCGGGGGAATAGATTGTGAACCTAACAAGGACAGGAATTGATGACGTGTAGAGATAAGACGACATAGTACCCTCAGATTGAGTAATATTTGTGTCCAGCGGTATAGACTCCTTCTGTGCTTGAAACTAACATGGAAAATCACGCCAGAAGGAATGATTGCAAACAATCTGTATGCACACAAAAAGGAGGAAAATTGGATATCAAAGCGTGGGATTCTTAACACTAAAGTGCAGAAGCAATAAAGCTGTTACACTGACTCAAAATCTAAATATGATGCTGCTACGAGGCCATCCAAATTGCTTGACCCAAGGAGGCTATTTCAATTTCTGCCGTGTTTAAGCGCACAATCAACTTTAGTAAAGAAGTCCTTAATCCAGGTGCAGTAATGTGACCACAGCAAAGGCCAGAATGGTTGGGAAGGCCACCATGGAGATACGAGAACCCCTTTTGATCGGCATGTGCTTTAGGGAGGATGGAATCAGGACTACAGGGGGAATAAACAGTGCATTTTCACTGTGCCAGCTGTGGGCAAAAGCGTCTACGCCTGATGAATGTGGGTTCCAAAAAAAACGAGAATAAAATCGGGGCAACTTAGAGTTATAAAAGGTAGCGAAGCGGTCAATTGTGAATGGACCCCAGCAAGAGTTAATCAAAGTGAAAAATTCATCTGAAAGAGACCATTCATCTGTGTCAATTATTCTGCTAGCAAAATCAGCTTGATCGTTTATGGTCCTAGGAATCCACTCAATTTTGAGACAAATAGAATTGCTGAGACAAATACTGAAAATATCCACAGCCAAGCTGTTACGGTGTGGCTTCATACTACCAGATTCGATAATCTTGGCTGCACATTGGCTATCGGTGAGTAGTTTTAGCTCAGAAGCACGAATTCAGGGAAGGAAGGAGATCAAGGCAAAACGAATAGCCTCAAGCTCATGCCAAGTTGAACTCTGTCTTGATTCTGTCGGAGACCACAGCTTGTGGGCAGTGTTGGAGTCTATTACAGATTATTGCACCAGCGCCAGTTGAGCTAGCGTCCAAACAAATTATCCTATTTACAACTTGATGGGCAAAAAACAAAACGGACATTCGAATGTTGGACGTTATTGTTCCAAGTGAAACCTAAATATCCCTGGGAGACCGAAGCGATATCCTAATGGTGGTAGCCTGACTTTAAATCAAAGGATATCACGAGAGCATTGGAAGAGAGAAATTGAATACCTACCTTCCAGTCATCTACTTTGAAGTGTTTCTTAGCAATGTAGTTATTGAGAACACTAAGTTGATGAGCCTTTTTTTTTTTACGCTGATCATGAGACAGATAAGGGGCTGATGACGTAGGAGGGATGGGTTTTCTCTACAATGCGGTTAGAAGTCAACAATCCTAGTACAGAATCTGTCATGGAATTGGCCTTCCGTAAGGCAGACTTGTTATTTCAGAGAAAAATCAAAGGGAGTTCTTCCACAAAAGGAATTACACAACCATTTTCAACGATTGACAAAATCATACCAGGAGCACCTATGTCACGCCAACATTTAATACATTGTTTCAACCTTCCTTTAACTGATAAATTATTAGACTGCAAAAATGACGATTTCAAAGATCTACTTGGACAATGTACATGTACCTTCAGAACGTCATCAAATTTCTTGCAGATAGTGGCTCTACTGTGATTTGGGGCAAACTGAGGGGGCATTGTTTTTACTGGCTGTGTCAAAAAACTCTGGGTTGGGTGGGCCAGGCTCTTTGGAAAGAAGAAGCCTGGTAGGTGAAGGATCTGTAACTGGGGAAAGGGACGGCTGGCCTTGGTGTTGGCTTTGACCGGTAGTGAAAGTAGGTCCTGGAGCCAAAGGAGAAGGGACAGCTATGGAACCAATGACCCAACATCCCACAGGAGAAGCATGACTCAAAAGCTGGCATGCCTGAGAATAAAAGAAAAGAGGTTTCGGAAAGAAAAGAAGCCACAACGAGGAAAACAATTATAACGTATGATTTCCTTGGGGTGGGATGGGGATGGGCTTGTGCAATTAAAGAAATTGGAGACCACGGGAAATGAGGCAGGTATGGAATCTACGCAATTGCTCGGTGTGTGTGACTTCACCTGAATGGTTTGGCTGGAGGTTTGTTCATGTTAGATTGGGATAAGCTTGAGTAATTCAATCAGTGAAATGGTATGGGTGTGGCACTTGGGCATGCCAAATATGCCATGCAAAACTGCCTACGGTGGGCCAACCAAACAAAACTACATGTATATTACCCCCCTGCCTTCCATATTCATTTACAAATTTGTTTGAGTGTTCACTATCCTGAATGTGCTAATGTTGATCAGTGGCTGTTGCCTCCAGAGGTACGTGAACATGTTGATCATAGTAACTGGTACGTTACATCCCAATTTCGTCCAGTACCTATAGATCACAGGACTTGAAGTTAAGAGGTTTTGAACGTAGTTTCAAGCCCAAGATTGCTCACATTTTTGTGTGTACATTTTTATTCCTTGAGCATATATGTAGTCCAGAATAGTGTCAAGGGTATGAATCTTTAGGTCACAAAGGTTTCTGTTACTTAGGTTCCATGTTAAAACCCTGTTCATCTCCTTGTCACTTTTTTCTTCAAATGTACTTTGTTAACATGCATTTACCTGTGTGTATTGCATACATATTTAGATCACAGTATTCTAATAGCCTTGATTTTTGTATCTCCAGCTTTGTGAGGCTGGTGCTGTGACAGATCTCATACGCAGCATGCTGGAGAATCATGAGAAACCAGACGAGGATATCATTGCCTATATTCTGAGGGAAACACTACAGGTCTGTATAAACGTTGCTTTCAATAATTAGCATGATTATTATATTCAAATTATAATTATATAGATTATCGTTATAATAATCATGAAATATTAACTGGGAAGAAGAAATCTGAATCTTTTTGTGAATTAAGGAAAACGTTTTGTCCCTCACTGTCCTCTTCCATTTCATGTTCCTTGTAACTAAAGCTGGGTCGACTATCAAACTTCAAACTTACATGTAGCTGGAAATCATCCATCGACTGGGGAACCTACATGAAGATCACATGCATAACAGAAGGCTGTGATAAAATCAGCTGGGTCAGAGTTTTCTTTTTTCTTGGTGGAAATTTTCCACATCTACAAAATGTACAAAGCATTTGTATCTGTCATCTGAACTAGGCAGAATATTATGGCAATGTGTGGTTCATTGTGGCATTGGATTTTGCCTCAAACTCTGATGAATTCAAATGGAAAGTTTCAAGAGCTACTTATTAAGTACACTTGCTTTTGTGCTGTGTTAATTTATTTCCGCATCTTGTTTTTAGCATGTTTCATTCATTTTGTAAAGTTTTGAGTTGGTGACCTGATTTGCAATCAGCAAATTAGTCCTGCAAAAAAGTTGCATGTGCACCCAAGATAAGCGTCGCAATTGCAAAGTGGTGATTTTCAGAAATACAAATGAATGGCCTCACTGGTTTCCACCACTTTGTGAGGTACATGTAACATAAACTACCTCAGTGCACTCAATGGACACCTGCAGTGACAGGGTACTATTGCTTGTTAAGCTGTGCATGTGTGGAATGAAGTCAGTGAATTTAACTTTGCTTTGGCATTGTAAAGCTGCAAGCAAGCAGGCATTGCTGAAAATGACCAAAACCAATGATATTTTGGATGAAAACCTCTGTGAGTTAATGCACACAACACAGTCTCCTTTCTGTTAACACACGCATACATGTATGCCACATGTACATGTGCATGTACTGTACATGTACATGTAGCTATGCATTTGTAACACTTGTATCATACATTGTATGGAGATTCCTAATTTTGTCCTGGCAACGTTGGCACATACATGTACAATGTACATATATAACCAACACACAGAAATTTGTAGTTGTAGTTCTGAAATCATTCCCTTGTTGGTGCTTAAAAGAACAATTGCTTTAATTACATGTATTTTAAATTTTCCGGGAGACCTTACCAGTTGGCACACTCAGTTGTGGCTAAGGTTGGTTATGTTCACTATTGATGCCCAAGCAGCTAATGGATTGTAGATGCGCATCATTGTCCATCCTTTGAGTTGCATTACATGCATTTATGCCTGTCGTTAAGTGCGTCTATCATTAACGTGCACCTTCTGGCATTTGACATGCCTGAAAGTGACCAATTGATTTAATGACCAGGTCTAGACAGAAACCACTTGGTGACTGGACACCAGGCTGGTCCAAAGACTGATCTGTCATCCATGTACATACATGTGATAATTTCAATTTTATCCCTAGCCATGCAGCATGTATGTCATAATTCCCTCTTAACGCTGTCGCTGGCACGCATCTTAAAAAAAAACCTGTCCCCAGTTGGGATGCTCATTAATATTGCCGTGGCAACGCTCAGCCGGTTTCCTTCAACAGGTCTGGGGCTGTTTGCATCATTATACTGGGAATGGAGAGTGTCGCGAAGTAGGAAATTGCGGCGCAAGGCCGGCATGTACTGTGCTTGTTGAGTGTGGGATGATGTATGCAACCGATATAGAGCAGGCAATTAAACACAAAGCATTAGAGGGGATCGGCAGTAGCATATGATGCAAATGATCGCTTTGCAGTAAAGACATTTTTGTGGAGGTCAGGATGTTGGTGTACATATTCATACGTGTACATAAGCAGTTCCAATGATCGTTCGTGTGTCGTTATGCTAGGACACAGCAAATGTTCTCCTTTTTTGGTCAAGAAAATGTTTTAAATTTATGCTGCTGTAAAGAAAATAAATTCAGTGTTCTTGACAGACTTCCTTTCTGACTGAATGAAGTGTGTATTTTGCTTGTACTATCTTGTGACTAAAAAGCCAATGTTACACCTAAAAGATATCAGAAGTATTGCAAACATACATGCACTAGAGACGTGTCTTTGAATCTCCGTTTGTTTTTCTAATTTTTCAAACTATTTGTATGCAACATAAATACCCCCTGTTTTTGCATCCACTGTTTTTGCAGTCACTTGATGGAGTGCAATTGAAAAATGCACAATTGAAAGTGGATTGAATGAACAAGACCAAGTCCTTCTTCTTTTTATTTACAGGCCCTTCATCACCTGCACAGCCACGGGGTCATGCATCGTGATGTCAAAGGTCACAATGTCCTCATGACCTCAGATGCGCGCATCAAACTGATTGACTTTGGTGAGTGTGCTGTCTCACGGCTCAGTGCCTGAATTAACAGGGAAAGATGAAGCGGCTCTCTTAACAATTTCTGGTGCTTTGTGACTTGTGTGTCAATCTCAGCTTGAAGGTCTTCATAAATATCTATTATTTTTATGTGGCAAAAAAGCCTGGTCATCAAAGACGTAGTACATTGTCCTGGAAGTGGCAGGTTCAGACACTGCTCTTTCAACTTTCTTCGTCTTGAAGTTTTTCCATTATTACATGTATGTGAAACTTTGTTATCATTTGACGGAAAGCTTAGTTTTTTGTCTCTGTTCCACAAATTGTGAGTGTGTCTATTCTTACTTTTGAGCAGACAAATATAATAGGTTTACAATACAAACATTGTCCCCTTTTTTCCCTGTGGGTTAGTAAAATATTTGTGATAGAAAAGTAAAAATTAATAAAATAAGGAGCAATCCCTTGTGCAATGTTCAAGTCCCCAGAAGCAAGCATTTTAATTCAGCATGCAACATTGAGCCTGTACAGTGTTTGCCAAGGTTTATTCAGACATCCCCTGTCGTCAGAATCGATAATACACATCCATTAATGCCATGTCAGGCATGCCCAGTTTCCTGTTAAAAGCGAGCACGTCACGTTGTAGGTTCAGTGGAAATGTACAAAGAGGATGCTGATTGAAACTGGCACTGTAATTGAATATACTGTGCTGTAATTATACCTTTATGACAGGGCTTCCCATTATCTGGGCCGCATGTGCATGTTTGTTTAACAAGCTTTCAGATTCAAAACTGGACCAGTTGATGCGATGTAATGGATCGGTTCTTGATGTTCATCCCTTGCAAGTCCATCAAGCCATCAGCTGTTTGCTTGACAGACTGTTAATGTAGGAATAAAGAAAAGGAACTTCATTTGGAACTTGATTTATGAGTGCATGTTCTATTTTAGTCAGCTTTTACTAGATTCGATCAATTATTGGAATGCTGAAGAGAAGCAGGTTTGCGCACATGTACATGTACTGTATCATGAAGTTGACCCATTTATCAAGATTATTTTCAGACCGGCCAAGTGGCCGTTCTTGACCGATGAAATTACAGTATCCAGGCACACAATAAAATAGTGACCAATAACACTGATACAGACATATACAGACTGCAGGCGGTGAATGTATTTTTTCAAGGGGAAAAAAGCACACAAAAACGTTTTCCTTCACTCTGTAAAAAAGGTTAACAAAATGACAGATTAGTTCATATTTCCCAGAGGAGTTAAATTGTATTTATTTTGTACATCTACTGATAGCAATCTTTTTTTTTCTGCACTCTGAGTTTTTGTTTTCAATTAATTGAAACAGATGATGTAAACGTTTCTTGTTTAAAATGTAGGTGTGTCTGCAGTATTGAAAGGGCGGAGCAAGCGCAATACATCAGTCGGTACCCCGTATTGGATGGCACCCGAGGTCATTGCTTGTGGGCAACAGCTGGAATGCTACTACGGAACAAAGTAAGTTCTCTGAAAATTCAATGGTTTTTAACCCAACATATGCCTGAAAAAAAGAATGAAATACCTTTCAAACGGTAATACGAATCGGTCTGTCATTCATAGAAGTGATATCTGGTCCCTGGGCATCACTGCAATAGAACTGGCTGACGGTGAACCTCCGCTGAAGAACCTACACCCAATGCGAGCTCTCATGAAGATACCTAGGTGAGAGTACATATACGTGTATTGTCTGGTCAAACTACCTGAATGAATGTAATCCTTACTTTGCGGACCTTGTTCCTTTATAGCATACAAGTGCATTACAGATGAAAGTTAACACTGGATTGCAAAAGGAAATGTTGACAAAGATTTCACTTTCACATGCGCACTCACATTTCACGAGGCATGAAAATGATTTTTCCTCTGGTGTATATAGTTTTAAAAAACTCTTTTTCACTTGCGTAAAAAGGCTTGAAAATGTTTTCTCACTGCTGGGGAAAAAATGTCTGAAAATCTTTTCCCAGTTATGTGAAAATGTCTGAAAATCTTTTCCCACTTGTGGAGAAATCTGTGAAACTTTTTTCCCCCGTGGGAAAAGTTTTTCGCATTTTGTGAAATGAAACTGAATCTCTGGGAAGAAAAAAGTGTGAAGAGAATTCCCCATTCCCATGCCAACTTCCAGATGCAGTGTACTGTGCATATATGTCTTCAACTGCCAAAACTGATCTGAACTTCACATGTTCTTGCAACGTTTATCCCAATATTATTCCTCAGTTCTTCAGTTGCGTAAAAGGAAGACTTCCCAAGGCTGTATTAAAGGCTAATGTTGTCCTGATACACACCTTGTAAGAAGTTGACAGGTTGAGTGAAACCAAACTGTAGAAAGTAAGGATCGCCAGTTGAACTAGCTGGTCTTTGCATGACTGCCCCCTGTTGTCATTGTGTTAATGTTTGCACTTGCAGGCTTTTGGAGCTTCCCTGTATCCTTTGTTCATGTATCCTACTTTTTTCCCCTTTCTTTTCAGGAATAAGCCACCCACAATGCAGCACCCAGCCAAATGGTCCCTAGAGTACAGCGACTTCATTGCAAGGTATGGTCTGAAGCAAGCAACTTGGAAGTGATCAATTTTCATTTGAATGGGCACATATTTGCTGCATACAGTATTTATGTGAAAACGCACTTGAGTCTGGTTGCAAGACAGAAATAGAACTCCCTGTATACCCTTGCCTGATGATGCTTTTTCACATTTTCATGGCTTAACATATGAAGGACCCCACTTTCACTCAGTTTACTTTGAAATTTGCCATAATTGTATCAAAGAATTAGGACTACAAGTCATGTATAAAGTGACACACCCATTTTCTTCCATTAGCTTTTTGATCAGGAAAAGACATTGTCAGGAAAAGATGAGGTTGCACTTGCAAAAAGGAAACCTTTGATGTAGCAGCTAGTAGCTGAAATCACGGAGCTGCGAAACAGAATCTTTCTATTGATTTATATAATGCAAGGGGGAGGGGCTAATCCTCCACACTGATACCTGCAAGGCTGAATTACAAAGGACAAAGCTACATCATTGTCAAGCTAAAGGCATGTACAGATGCCAAATGACCCATGTCTGACAACAGAGCACAGCCCTTTTCTTCTTGGACACATTTTTGGCCAGGTGCCTCGTGAAGGACACCGAGCAGAGAGCCAGCGCCGTGGAGCTCCTCTCTCACCCTTTCCTAACTGGTGTGCCAGGAAACATTTCATCGGTCAGGTCCCAGCTGGCCGGTCTGATAGGACTGTACACAGAGACGGATGGCCCAGCGCATGTACCCGAAGTCACCACCAAGTGAGTGTCATTCTGTGGAGTATGATTAAACTAAATGTTTTTGTTGTTGTTGTCACACTTGGGTAATCCCAGATATTTTTTCATGTTCCTATCACATCTGACACATGATTTTGTAAGTTTAGAACAACTTCTTTGATTTCTAAGAGTGATGAATTAATGCAAATTAACTGCAAAACAAATAGAAATAGTTTGAAATCACTTCCAGTGATATTTCCATGTCAAATAACAAAGGTTAGATATAAGAGGGACACAAAAATGTCACACTTTTGACCCAAAATTTCTGGAATTACCCATGTCATATGTGTTTATACTGAGATGTTGACTTTTAAAGAGCAACCCCAATGGTGGTGAAAAAAATGGGGAATACATTTTAATATACTCACATGGTATCTAAGTAATAAGTTATATATGTAAAGTGGCACTGTGACTTCTGAATAAATAGTAATAATGCGATAAAAATATGGACCAATTCTGTTGGTTTTTCCAAAACTGTTTACGTTTGTACCATTGGTGGTGCCACGCAGAGAAGCATTTTTGATTACTTACCACCGTGGAAACGAAAAATGAGGATATGTTTTCATGCAAAGGCCTGCACGCCAGAGCTGCCAGCCTAGCCTTACACTTTTCTCGGAATAAAATAACAACATAAAAAACATTGAAAACATCTGTCCTTCACTCTGAACTTACTAATCCGTATTTATCAAATGATCTTGGTCTCCTTCACCGCCTCGTTCACCAGCGGTGGCCCCATCGTCAGCCCGAACCCGTTGGCGCTCCGGTGGCACGATGGGTTTGAATCGGTAAGGCTCTGTGCCTTGGACTTGGGACAATGTATAACTGAACTACACACATGTTACTATACTATGTGTAATTATGTGCATTGACGAGACCGTGCTGGCTTAGTGCGTACATGCACCAGCCGGAGAACCGTTTCCATGGTGCTATGGAAAAGCCATATTCATGAGATATAAATAACGCGATGGTGACATGCTCGTTTCATGAAGCTGGCCATGGCGCTCGGCAGAAACGGGTCTCAAAAGTGAGTTTTTTAAACTAAAAATATTGCTGAATCCGGGTTTATGTGGCATAGATGTCTATAATTGGATCCAAGTAAATATATAATGGCCAGATTTCTTATTTTCTTCCACCGTTGGGGTTGCTCTTTAAAAAATGTTTGATGCTATGAGAACAATTCCTATTTCATGGAGCTTTTTGATTTAAAATTAACTGTTCTTTCTCTTTATTGGGATTGGAGTGATTAATTTCAAACTCATTTGTGTTGTAGGCACGGAAAATTGAATCCAGTTCGCACGCGTGGCCTCCATAAATCCAGCAGGAGAACCCCAGACATGGTCAACGACTTAGCGCAACTAGAAAATCTCACGCAGGTAAAGACCTTCCTGCATTTTATGATCCTATTTTCACCTTGTACTTTTACACTCTGCTCAGTGATATCGAACGAGAGTGACCATTCACTTGTGCCATTTCACCTTTCCCCAGGATTGCATTGTCCAGCATCTGTATGGCCGTTACATGAAGGGTCAGATCTACACATACATCGGGGATATTCTGATGGCGGTCAACCCTTACACCCAGCTGGCCATCTATGATAACAGCGTCAGTAACCCAAGTCACTGATCCTCTGTCCAAACTTTTGCCAGGCAGTACAGCTACAATACCAGTAACATTAATTTGACCTTTGCCCTGGGCAAGAAGTGTACATAGTAGTACACATGTACTGTCATCATTGTGCATAAAAGTTGAGTCTATTCCATGTGTACTGCAGTTCTTCCAACTTAACCCATTTTGTACTTTTTAGCTCTTTAGTTAAGATTTCAGCTTTTTAGCCTCATTTGCCTAGTTTACTTAGGTTTGTCCTGGCCTTGGTTCATAAATGCACAGGTTTGTGTAGATTTCTGCATTATATTCTGCACACATTCACGTCATGACAGTTAGTGTCCTCTCCTTTGATACAGGTTTTACATTGATTTTGTGTTTCCTTAATCTTGTTAGTTTTCAGAGTTATACCGACACGCCTCCAAACAAGCAAACCCACCCCACATCTTTGGCATGGCAGACAGCACCTACCAGGCACTGCTCTTTCACAACCACAATCAGGTGAGAATCTGTCTCGTCTGTGCATGTAAGGAAATGGCTACCGATGACCTAGGTCAATAGAAGATGCATGCTGATGGGTTCTCGAAGTCAGAAAACCAAACCCTGAAAACTTGAAATTTATTGAGAAAAAGTGGGATGCTATCATTGTTGATTTCTCTTGTTAATAACTTTTGAGGAAGTTAGTCCTTGTTTTTCTTAGAATAATTTGTAGATTGTATTTCAATGGATTTTGAAGGAAATTCAGTCTTTAGGGCATAAATCCAACTGAGATCGAAACGTCAAAATTAGTGACATAGCGACGTGTTTATGCATGTTCTTTATATGACTTTATATCTATAAATACTGTATAGTCAAAATTAAAATCTATGCATATCTAATTTTGTCTTCATTACACTATTTCTCCTATTTGTTAATTGCACACAAATTTTTCCACAAGGTATAGATTTCCTAAGTATTTTTATAAAATAATATGGATTTCCTCTCATCAGTTCTATCAAGTTCCCATTCATTTGGAGTTTGCTCCAAGTAATCACGTACATAAGATAATGCCAACCATGCACAGAGTCGTTCATTTCAGTCACTTGATCTTTGATCGGAATTACACAATTCGGTCCTTTGGTGGGAACTTGCCGTGTGCATGAGGGGGTTCATGCGCATTTGGCTCGGGGTGCACTGCGCATGCGTGACCAATTTCTATTTGAATGTACAGTCTTCGTGTGCATGCCAGCCATGTGCACAGGCCCGCTTGAAAATGTCCCTCCAGTCTGTCCCTTATTTGCCAGTGAGGGCGCTCTTCAACTCTGGGCACATCCTGACACATCAGAGTGTTTCACATCACCTTTCCTGCCTGGTTATTTTCACACATGTATGGCAACAGAGACATGAGTGTAATGCTTCGTGGCAATTTTCTCTCTCTTTTGCAGTGCCTTATTGTCAGTGGTGAGAGCGGGGCTGGGAAGACGGAAAGTGCCAACCTGCTGGTGCAGCAACTAACTAAACTCGGAAAGGTACACAATTTCATTTCATAATTTAAGTGTTGACAGAGTATAGCCACCATCCTGCACAACCCAATAACGTCCAGCAGCTATAATGTGTGAAGCCTGCAAAACTGAACATACAGCAGCCAGAAAACTTTACTTGATCCTGTTGGGTTCTGCATGGTTAGGGATAGGGAGCAAACGGACAGAAAATGTGCAGTGGCTTGCCTTTTCAACCTCGGAGATCCCCAACCAGCCAAACTCCAACACCAGGGCTTGTTGGAATTTGTTAGGATGAGTACTGAACTAATACCTGAGCATGTTTTTATGTGGGATTAGGCATACCACAAATAAACAGAGCCCAACTGCTTGTGCGCCCAGTTTTTATATGGTGTTGGGGATCGCAGGGATGAATGCTGCTTATTTTTTCTCAAATTGTGTTTCCTTCAGTCAGGAAGGCGTTGCGTATCATTTATGTTCTTGGCTTTCTGCATTGAGTATACTACATCCCAAATGCGATCCCGGCTTATTTTCCTCACTTAACAAGATGATTGTCCAGTACCACAATTCTCTCTGAGTTGTTTGCAGACTTCCCATTAGTACAAGACATTCAACCCGTCTGCATTATTCAGTAGAATTATTACTGTAATAAAGGGCCACAGGCCATACAAGCCTCATTAACCACTCAGTGCTGGGGTTCCTGGTACGGAGTACCTTGGGTTTGTAGGCAGAGCCAGAGTGTCCATAATCGAACAAAGGAGCTGGACCTTGTAACAAAAGACCAAGCTGCTGGTAATTGCCATCATTTTTCAGTTGGTATTAGTGGAGGTAATCTGTCATTGTTTTGAAACAGTATACCACTGTTTGCGGCATTCAGCTCCCATGGATTATCAGCAGGGACAAAAGGGCTCCTCCAGCACTCCAGTAATGAGCGATACAGTATCGCTGCATGCTAATCTGGCCGCATTTTAAAAGACCCCACTGCCATTCAGCAATGCACAGGGCCAATTTTGGGAACAAAGGAAATTACGCAACACCGCGCAATCTGGGCTGTCTTTACTGGGCGGCAGGCCTGCCTGCAAAACTTGGGCATCAGTGGAGGTTGCCTGTCAGATTAGATTAGCCACCAGACAGTCATTCATGTAGGTTTAAGCATCCAGTAAATGAAGTTGTGCATTTTTGAAGAATTTGAAAACGGAAAATCTTGAAAATTGCTCCAAAACAGGTTCCGCATATGCAAATTCCATCTGGTAGGAAGTAGTTAATTTGGCCCCACAAACGAATGTGGATGCAAAGTTTGCAAACTGGCGGGCTCTTACCAACAGCTAGATATTTGCACATGCTCATGGAGAGTCCATGAAGTAAGTCTGAAAAGAGTCCTTGAAATATGTTTTTTATCTTGCAACATATATACAGCAGCACTGATGACTCTGAACTTAGTCGTTCTGATGTGAAGCAGTTTAGATTGTTCATGCCAATCCCCTCAACGAGATTGTGCTCGATGTGTATGCTTTCAATTACTCTAGATGTTTATATAAAAAGTTGAGCATGTATATGCATCAATTGTTATATCCACTGTGTGTTTTTTTCCAGGCGATTAACCGCTCCTTGGAGCAGCGTGTCTTACAGGTCAACCCCCTCCTGGAGGCATTCGGCAATGCCCAGACCGTCATCAACGATAACTCCAGCCGCTTCGGCAAGTTCCTGGAGCTGAAGTTCACCAGCACCGGCCAGGTGATGGGGGCGGTTATCTCCCAGTACCTGCTGGAGAAATCCAGGGTCATACAGCAAGCAAAGTGAGTTGACGTTGAGCATACCGGGAGGAGAAAGTTGAAAGAATCCCAGAATATTGTTCATTATTTAACATAAATATGAAAAGTATGACGGCAAAAGGCCAACATTCTAAAATATGTTAAGATGCTGGGTGCCCTCTTGAGAATATCTGATCTTTTGGTGAAGCACTTTTGCATAACCTGCATGGTATCTGAGGTGTTAATGCACTGAAAAATAAACACCAGCTTACTCAAAGCCGTGACCTGCTTACTAATGTAGTTTCCCTGCTCCAATCAGCCACTGAGTCTGAGATTGAAGCTGCTTGGATTGTAACGCTTCTCTTTGTTTCTCTGTAACGCAGAGAGGAGCAGAACTTTCACATCTTCTATTACATCTTGGCCGGTCTAGCCGAGAGCAATCAGAGTTGTAGCTACCACCTTGAACTCAACAAGAAGTACAGGTACATGTATGCTCCCACGTGACAATGTCATTCCGAAAATGCTTTGACCACATTGTAGGAAAACTTTATGTGCCATCGAGATTATAGATATCTAGCTCTGTAACTCGTTTAACAAGGTGCCCATTCCAAATGCACCACTTGTACAAGCATCCTGGCACACAAGAAAGCCTTTGCTTGATTGTGAAATACGAGAACAGGTTGGGAACAGGACTAGGGCCCAAGATGTATTCCATAATCCGAGAAGATGGCATTACTGTCGCAGCACTGCACTTGCTGGTGCATTGTTCAACTTGAGTGCAAATTTGCGTAGCAGAGTCACAACACCCTATTGGTTCAAGAGGCATGTAACGCGCGTACATGTACCACCTGCCCATGAGCTTGGTGTCACCATAGAGATGGCTTTCTATCTCTGGTCGCCAAATTAGTCTGTAGGGTCATTGTTCAAGGAGGTCATTAAAAATAAAATTTTCCCCTTTAAATATCCATCCTCTGACAACCTTTCAAACAGTGGGAAGATAAGGGAAGTGTTGCTCGTTACTGTACATTCTGTGAATGAAAGTAGAAATTTATAGCCAAAGAAAGTAATGAAGTACCATGTTGGATACATGAGATTGTGATACATTTCATATGAAAGTCGTTTTCTGAAGGCATCAACTCACGTTTTTCCCTAGTATCCTTTGAGTTTTGGGATTTGGTTTCCTGACTCTTTTGCAGGTATCTTCACTTGGGCGACCCTTCCTCCACCGATCCATATCAACTCCCTGAGCTTCAGCGGAGGTTTGAGGACATCCACAATTGCTTGGAGACCATAGGATTCACCGATGTGGTAAGGGGGGGGTGTGACATCTCTCACATTCCATGGCCACACTCCAGATGAGCATACTTCGAGATGGAGGTCCCCATCCGGGTGAAACTTACGTCAATATTGGCTTTGTGGAGGAGCAAGAGATGGTCCCTTTTTTACATACCCACCAGTGCATGTCTGTCTATCTGTGACTGGTCCGTAAAGTCCATTTCTAAAGGCCAAAGAGTATGTAGAGAGTGTTTGGATTAGAGTAGTCACATAATGCTAGTATTTTGAAGCCAATTGCTTGACCACCACTATGTAGTTTGTAGCCCCCTATCAGGGCAGAGTCTTTGAGCACGGCTACCAGTTAGTCAGTGAATCATACACATTGAATGTATGACTTTACAATTTGATTATTTTGTGTCAGAGCATTTCGGTCACAATCCACTGTATATTAGCGATCCTGTCGTAGCTGTGTCTAAAATGCAGAGGGTATAAAAATCAGAAACAGGTTTGCTTGGAGTGGTTAGTGGTTGCAGTTTCTTAATTTCTGAACCCCACTGAGTTAGTTTGTTTTCATAGTCATAGGGTATTGACCATGACACCATTTAAATTCCCTTGAAATGACAGTGATGACGCCATTCCAGATCATTTCTCATTTCTGTTGGTCAGGAGATAGGATCTGTCTACAGCATCCTGGCTGGCATTGTTCATCTCGGCGAGATCACCTTTGAGGAGGCTGAGCAGTCACATAGCGTGGATAAGAGCGTCATCACAAATTCAGCTGATGTCCGGAAAAGTATGCAGTACACAAATTCATAAAGAGGCATTGAATGGATGAATGGACGTAATCCATGATCGACATTTCATTTTGCAGAAAAAAACAGTGACAAAACCTCAAACATTTTTTGAAGTTATTGCATGATTTAGAAATAGTTTTTGAAAATGTTTGAGGTTTTTGTCACTGTTTGTCTTTTGACATATTTAATGATTCAGACTGGCACAGTTTGCATTGTACTTGTAAAAATCATTGGTCATCTCTAGCTATTCAGGAGAGAGTCCCCTGCACAAGTTTTATTGGCCTTGATAAGATATGAAAGCATTAGTTCTGCTCAGTTTGTCAGGGCGTATTTCCATGTGCCATCCTCTCTGAGTTGTGGGAACTCATTGCGTGAGTGCTGGTGAGGATGCACTTCAGCACAGGGCAGATAAAGATAGCTGTCTCTTGCCAGGCCTTATCCCATAATACCAGATGAGAGCTTGTTAGTTCTCTTTTCTGTCCTCCCCAACAGCATGAAAACCTATCTACATATATCTCCAAGAGATCACTTCCCAGAATTTGCTTGCAAAGACAAAAAACTCCCCCAATGCAGTGTGCAGTGAAAGAGCATGGACTAGTTTGGCTTGCACTGCAACCATCATGGAGTCAATGTTGTCAATGTTTGGATGGTTACTTTAGGCAGTGAACTCCTGGGCATTGAGCAAGACGATCTCGCTGAAGCTATCACCACCAGCAGCGTGGTTGCCTGCGATGAGACCATCGTCCGTCAGAACACCAAGGACCAGGCCGAGGACATCAGGGACGCCCTGTCCAAGGCCCTTTACGGGCGGCTTTTCAACTGGATCGTCAACAGGATCAACACGCTGCTCAAGCCCATCGAGCAGCCGGGGTAAGTCAGTGTAGAGACAGGGTCAGGGTGCAGAAAAGTTGGCCAGGTCAAAGATATGGGTATCGGCCAGAGAGCTGGGGCAAGTCCAGCTGTTCAAATATTTGTCTTGTTGCATTGCTAGTGCGTGCAGCTGATGAAAATAAGACTTTCGAAAATAGGACATGCACCGTGGAAATGTTGCACTTTGATTGTTTTTTGGTGTCATTTATAGTGGGTTTTTTTGTCGGTCATCCAACTTTTCCTTTGATCAGCTGATTTGACTCTTCTGCTGCACATCATTAAAAATTTGGATATACTGAAACTTTTTGCAGTTGGGAATGTCCGTATTCTCTCTGAACATCCAGTTGGGGACGTCCTCATTCCCTCTGAAAAGCCAGTTGGGAATGCCCTCATTCTGTCTGAGTACCCAGTTGGGAATGCCCTCATTCTGTCTGAATACCCAGTTGGGAATGCCCTCATTCTGTCTGAGTACCCAGTTGGGAATGTCCTCATTCTGTCTGAATACCCAGTTGGGAATGCCCTCATTCTGTCTGAGTACCCAGTTGGGAATGCCCTCATTCTCTCTGAATACCCAGTTGCATGCCTGCTTTGTTTATCAACAATTCGCTAGTGAGAACAGCTTTCCCCGGCTCAACAGGGTGGGATTCTAACCCTCAATCTCTGACTTACTTGTACTTATGTCTTAATCACTTGTCAACCAAGCATGCCAGGATCTGGTAGACTCTACATACCAGCTTTATTTGGCATCTCATAATTTGGAAGGGTCGGTATGCTTCGCTGAGAACACAGCATTCCCACTGGAATGGTGCCTCATTACAGTCTACGCACAAAGATCACTGTTCCCACTGAAGAGTGAACGCTCCAATGGAATACAAGCATTCCAGTGGGAATGTTCCATTGGAATATGAATATTCCTGAATTCTTAGACTCTCCGTTACCTGCAGTAGAAGTCTTAAGATAAACTCTAAGTTGAGTCTGTATTATCTGTGACTCTTACATTGTTCCGCATATGTACAGTCATCATGAAATTGTTAACTAACTCTTTCACTAACACTAACCAACTAATTCTTAGTATTAAAACAAGTTTGCATGGCATGTTTCCATTTTTCTTAACACTCTCAACCCCATTCCAGGGAGAATGGCCAGCGAACCATCTCCATCTTGGACATCTTTGGCTTTGAGAACTTTGCAGTCAATTCCTTTGAGCAACTGTGCATTAACATCGCCAATGAGCAGATCCAGTTCTATTTCAACCAGCACATCTTTGCGATGGAGCAGGTGACCGACTCCATTTTGGCAACCGAGAACCGTGTTCCCAATAAAAGCACATGTTGGGATGATTATTGTAAAAAGTGACCACATGTAGTTGTCAGTGACTAACAGAAATCCTTACTTTGGAATTCCAGCATTTGGGGAGTTTTTATTTGGATGATTATTGAAAATAAACTTTTGAAGACTTTCGATGGTTATCAGTTATCAGAATGACAATAGTTGGAGAATTTCATGTTTACTGTTTATTGGAGATTAAGCAATCAATTATCAGCTTTGATTATTAAAAGTAAGTTTAGAATTGAGAACCATTCGAAAGTTTACCCCCAAAAATGAAATTTTGAGAGAATAGTCCAGTCATACTAATTCATTAATATGCACATTTAACCTGCATGTATATACATGTAATACTCATTATTGCATTCCATCTGTGGTTCTTTCCAGAGAATGTTTTTGTGATTAAGAAAATATCATGAAAATGACACCAAAATAGTGATATCTTACTTTCTTCTGGTGTTTTTCCTCTCAACTAAAACTGTAACGTCGGTTTATATTTCTTCCTTGCGACTTCCTGTCTCAGAATGTCTCTTTCCCTTTGGCATGCCGTTTTTATCGTACCAAAAGAAAATGACCTGTGAACAAAAAGCCAGCACTCAACAGGAAGCATTAAAGACCTTGTGTGCTTGGCACGGCGCTCCTTAGGCCTTCCTAATGCTTATAAGCACTTTAAGAGAAATTGTGAGATAAGGGTTATTTGTCACAATATTAAAACAAGCGTTTATAAGAATCTTGATCCAAATTGATATCAAAAGGGTATTCTCAGTGCATATAAGATAATCTCTTTTTCCCATTTTTCTGAGCTACATGAAAATAAAGGAATGTTTACACCTGTGTTCAAATGAATGCTTTAAAAAGGAAGGAGGTGTAAGTTGGAGCACTGTAGAATATGACAAGGGCATTGTTTAGTCTTACCTGGAACACCCAACAACAGACGTTCAGAAAGGAGAACAGTGGACAATGCCTTTGCATGCTTTATGGAAGCATGGTCTCAATAAGGAAAATGGCTAACTCCAAAGAAGGGAACTCACAGCATTCTGGAAAAGAACCTTCCTTTGAAACACGAACGTTGGACTTACTTCATTTCCACAGGAGGAGTACAGCGCAGAGGGCATAGATGCCACCATGATCAGTTACCAAGACAACCAGCCATTGTTGGATCTCTTCCTGCAGAGGCCCTTAGGTATGCTGCATCTGCTGGATGAGGAAAGCTGGTTTCCGCAGGCTACCGACCAAACGCTCGTGGGTGGGTATAAGGCCATGATCATCAGTGTCACAGGCTGACTGTCTTTGTGTTTGGAAATGATGCTTTGCTCTGCGAAATCTTTTGCAGTGTTGGTATTTACATTTTATTTTTAAAAACTTCTTGTTCAGCTTTGAAGTTGATATTGTTGGAATTTGATGAATAATAGGAAATCATTCTTCAGTTGAAAAGTGGGCAGCTTGTCAGATTGGAAAGTGTTTGTTGACGTAACATTGGAAATCATTCTTCAGTTGAAAAGTGGGCAGCTTGTCAGATTGGAAAGTGTTTGTTGACGTAACATTTTACCCCGAAAGATTCTGACAATTGTTGCATTTCTTGTGCCATGCATTTTGAAATTGTCCGTTAACCACAACTTTCAGTGTAAAAGCCTTTTTGTTCTTTTTTTCTCGAGTTATCATTCAAGAACCAATGGTAAATTTTCCTTACTATCCTGGGTATTTTGATTCTTCAGAAAAATTCAACCAGAACATCAGTGGAACTTACTACTGTCGGTCACCCCATGCTGGGGGCTTGGATTTTGGAATACAACACTATGCTGGCAAGGTAAAATTGCTGAATTATTGAGCTGCAAAGGAACAAACTCAACAAACCGTTACTAGAGGTTTTTCATGTGATGTAACACAACGGACAAAGGCATTTCAGGAAGCATACTGCATACATTGAGGTGCACGCATTTTCCAATCTGTGTATTTCTATTGGAAGTTTCATCTACGCCAGAATGTGTAGAGACTTCTACACACATCTGTGTAAATTGAACACTGTCCGTCAAAAATCGTGACTAAAAATCCTCTATAGTTTGGTTTTGTGGCAAATACTGTCCAACAGTGCAATGCACTTACTTACAAATGGTTCGAACCAGCAGTGGTTGATCGTGTGTCGAGAGGATTTGTTTTGTGTTTTTCTCTTCACATTACTCACTCAACTATTCACTCATTGTGTCATTGACATGCAGTGATACGGGCTGTGTTGACATCCAACTTGAACCTGATGCAAAGTTTGCTAATAGTCGCATTTTTGCTATGAATGTAATTCATGGTTTTGGTACACTTAAACATGCACAATTTGTCTCAACTACAGTATCCAAAAAACTTGAATTTTAAAATTCTTAAGTTTCGTGACTAATTTCTGTCGCATTTTGAGTGTTTTATGGAATAAAAAAACAAAAGAGATGCTCTGAGAATCTCCAGGAGTGACTCTGAGTTTGGAATTCCCCCAAGAGAGAATCTGTAAGTTCTTGGAAACGATCGTGTCATTCTTGTCTACAGGTCATGTACAGCGCGGATGGCTTCCTGGCCAAGAACCGTGACACCCTAGTCATGGATATCGTCTACCTCCTGCGCTCCTCCAAGATGCCGTTGACCAGGCTTCTCTTTGAGCAGCACCTCAACAAGACAGGTATTGAATCAGAGACGGTGTGTTTTTGCTAAGGAATAGCGTCTTTGGTGAGGAAACGATGCAAATGCGCATATCTTTGTACTGGACGTACTGAGCAAAGTGAGCATGCTCAACTGAGTTCTCTTGACGTGGTGTTTTTTGCTTATGTACCAAGTTGAAATACGTGTATGACACACCAACCTGTCTTTTCTTTGCCTGTGGGACCATGTTTCTAGTCGGTGTGGACTTTTGTGCCGACTACAGCCAACCTACTGAGTCAATCATTGACTTTTCAGCATTGTGTATCTCCAAGGGGGCCCAGACTTCTCGTAAATTGATAATTGAGCTGCCAAAAAGCTGGCTGCAACATTATGTACCTTCATAATCCATATCAATAGTTCTTATAAGCACGTGACTTTATATCAAAGCCACAGTAATTACGAAACAGCTGAAAATGGCACCATGGTGATTTTCTTAGGTTTAAAGATTTTTCTGAAATTTCTGCAGTTGCTTATGTGTAAAATATTCTGTCAAAGTTCCACGCTGAAATATCTTTGACAAAGCGTTCTTTCACAAACTCAAATTTAGAGGCTTGTTTCTCACTTTTGCCAATTTAAACATTTCAATATCAAAATTTGATGACTACACTTTGGAATACCCAATTTGAAGGATCAGGCAGGTTATCGTACATAGTGCATATAGTAAGACAGTCTATTTACGATCGCTCTGTGTAGGGAACTTGGCGAGCACGCTGGGTCCAGTCCAGCGCAAGGCACTCCACATGAAGGAAAAGCAGCTGTGCCGTGCCAAGTCCTATGCACAGATCATCCGGGAGGTAAGATGGAGTGAGGATGACATTGTCAGTTCCACAGTAATATTAATAATAATAATTTATTCATTTATAGATATGTTTTATTCATATAGATATGAATATATGGTATTTATTCATATAGATATGTTCAAATGCATTGTACAATGAAGACATTAAGCGTGGAACAGTGAATACATTTAAACATGGCTGAGACCCACATTCACCAACATCAGTAAAGGGGGGACAGTAAGAAGCAGTTACAGTTTTAGAGGTGGGAGGAAAACCCCAGAAGAATATTCTGGGTTAAACCCACGGAGTCAGGTAAGGACTGAAAACCCAATCCACATGTGGACCGGGCCGGGAATCGAACCCGGGACCACAGAGGTGGAAGGCGAAGAAAGAACTACCTTGTCAACCCGACTCCCCAACTAGCCAGATGATATTAGTGCCATTTTATGAACATGTGGCTAACTATTTTTCAAATTTGACAAATACTATATGATTGCATCATTATTCTGTTGTGACTGTAAATACACTATTGGCAGTTGATTATCTTAAGGAACAAGCTACTGCCAACTGCTTATTGACTGGAGAGACCTCAAAAAACATATTTTGTAAGAAAAGGGGGCACAATGCTTTGATCATTGGGGAGAGAGTGGCATAGTAGTTCAGGTTTGCGTTTCGTGACCAAAGGGTCAGGGGTTCAGATCCAGCTATTGGTCATAGGTTGTGGCCTTAGGCAAGATCATTTGTCTCCCTCTACCGTGAAGGGAGGTTCCAAAATGAGCTTGTGATTAACCTGCAAAGGACTTGTATCCTACCCACAGGGGAATGGAAATATTCTCAGTCATTTTGCCAAGTTGCTTTAATAGTCAAAATCTCAGGCCCTCTTACTTTCAAAATGTTTTACTTTTAAATCTAGTTGGCTCATTTGCCATTAGACTGTGTTTTGTTTTATCCAAGACAAGCGCTTGAAATGGAACTCCCAAATTGTTATTCAGCTCAGTAACTTGGAAATGTCGGCAATTTCTTCCTTTCCATAGGACATAACATTTGCAGGCCCCGCGGTGGAGGTAGGATGAATTCATGTGGAGAGAGGTTGCTCTAACGCTGTTCTGTTGTAGCTTTCTTCATCTTGAGAAACTACTTGCTTTTGCCTTGGTCCTACTCCTGAAATTCGTGGCTCACCCCCGTTCTGTCATTACGGCTCACTTTGTTTTCTTACTAATGCTTTTTTTCATGTACGCAACATAACTTGTCACAACAAAATGGAGAGGATAAGATTTATTTTCCTTCAGAAACCTCTTCAGTTTGCCGAAATTCACCTGACACAAAATACCAGTTTTTGACGAATTGAAACCTTAGTTTGAATCTGTCATGTAAAATTTAAATATGCTATTTATTGCTAATTGTATCTTCTGAAACAAGACAACCTTCTTTTGTTGTGACTGGTTATGTGGCCAATTTTTGTGACTTTGTAATTATAAAGATTTCACTTCTTGTAATGTTACTAACACTAAATCAAATTGTAAAACGTGTAATCATTCATCCATCCTGAAAAAACACATCCTTCATGTATTTCGCTACAGCTGCTTGAATACATGTACTTTGCAGTTTCAAACTCTGGCTCTTTGAGAATCTTGGCCTCCTTTGTGGGGCTGATGATACCTCACTGAGAGCCATGACTGTCAGTGTAGCCTCAGTTTGAAAAAAAATGGCTCCATATTTGAAAAGCATAAAAGATATGTGCTGTCCTGCCTGTATAACTTTGGTCCTGTTTTTCTAGTAGTGAGTGTAAACTGCAAAGCTGTTACCATGGAAGCGCAATCATTCTGTTGTTCTTTTTTTTGCGTGACTTCTTCCCATTCTTTTCTTCTCTGCTGTAGCGTAATGACGATTCTTCCACACCCAAGGTAATAACGGCAGTGCAGAATTCCTATAGCTTGACCACGGTACGCACCATGCACTGTCCCCACTGTGTATTACGGTATCATTTGAACGTTTCATTCAGTCTGTTTGTCCGGCTGATGGCTAAGCAGTGCATAACTATGTCTCTTTGTCTGTTTGTGGTTGACTTTGTGTCAGTGACTGCATATTCTCATGCCTTTTTAACAACTTGCACTCATTAAGTTGCCAACTATGCTTCAATATGCATTTATTGAAACTTGCAGTGCTGCAAAAAAAACAAACTCACTTTTTAATTTGTTTTACTTTTGTATTTCCCATATTTTGTTTCATTTTTTCTTTGTTGAATTTTGGAAGAGACTTAGTTTAGCCACAAAAGTTCGTTCACCCCCTTAAGCAAAATACAGAAAAGGACATTTTTTGGTCTTTTTAACCAACAACTTCTTAAATATTTGAAAGTCATTTAGGGAAAAGTTACAAAATTTACAAAGTTAAGTTTGTTGTGCATGCATTGGCTTAAGTATTTAGGCTTCCAAAATAGTAATGATACATATAGACGAACATCTTCTGATTAATTAATGCCAATATTTGTTTTTAGGAGAAAAATGCTTGTGTTCTCTCCACAGAAACCATTTTTGTAACTGCAAGTCGTTTTTTTTTTTCAAATGTTTGTAATGAAACAATCATCTCTTCCGATTAACAATGCGTCATGTGAAAGTGTATCGTTACACTTGTTGAAAATCTGATGGTTTTTATTCACCAACTTTCATGCACCTCAAAGCACAGATTACAAGCACGTTTGGTTCTGTTGAGTTGAAATGGCGTGGGTAAAAATTTTACTGGCTTTTTTCCAGTCACAGTGACCTCATTACTGTTGAAAGGATTTCACATTGTACACGTAGCTCTATGCAGTCATGGGCACTAGACAAAAAAAAGCTACCAAGACAACAGTTTAAAGCGTTCAATGCTGTCTTCAAAAATTGGCTTACAAAAAAGAATTAGATATACTCCTTTTTTCATTTTTTTGGTGTTGTAGGCGACAAGTGGTAATTTGGCAAAGAACAGACAAACTGTGGCATCATATTTCAGGGTAAGTATCTTACCAGGATTGCTGTTTCATAATTAGTTCGCAAACTTGAATAAATTTCTGGGCTATGCACAAAGATCAATTACCATATATACAAGAGCCAGGGTCTGCCTTCTTTCACCATGTTCGCTAGAGCGTGGGCCGAGAATAATAGCTGAAAAGCGGGCTGAGGATCTCAATTTTTACGGTGTGTCTTAGCCGCCTCTCGGCGCGAAGGGGTTAAGAGGAAAAATGTGGTTGGTGTCCACTATTGTAATTGTTGTTATTTTTCTGTGGTTGTGCTTTGTTTTCATGTAGTATTCTCTCAGGGAGCTCCTGTTTAAGATGGTAACCAGCCAACCCCACTTCGTCCGCTGCATCAAGCCCAACAACGACCGGGTACCGGGCCAGTTTGACCAGGAGAAGGTCCTGACGCAGCTGCGCTATACAGGTGTTCTGGAGACCACGCGCATCCGTCGGCAGGGCTTCTCCCACCGCATCCCCTTCCCGGAGTTTGCTGCCCGGTACCAGCAGCTGACCTACGAGATGAGCAGTCGGGTTGAGGGTACCCCAGCCACCTGCGAGGTCATCCTGAAGGCATGCGGTCTGATGGGCTGGCTGTTGGGAAACACCAAGGTATTGTTGAATTTAACCCTGACTGAGTTGGGGGGGGCTGAATCCACCCTCTCTACAGTTTTTCTGATATCTTTGCCATCCATTTCTTTCACACAACATGCCTACAGGAGTTTTCGGTTATATTACGGAGTCATTTGACAACAGTTTTGTGAAATTCGGACACAACATTCTCACACAGTGCCAACTTTTCTGAGACTGAGTCGGTCAAAACTGTATAGTTTTCCATGACGCATTCAATGCATGTGGTCTGACGTGGGTGTTGCCATGAACTTCATATAATGGTAAAATTGAAACAGTTTATAGGATTGAGTTGAAACTCCACCTTTGTATTGATAATGAGTATGTTTACATATATGCTAAGTTTAGAAAAGATCTGGCGTTGGACAGCTGAGTTTTTCGGGGAAGGGGCAGAATCTGCCTCCCTCCTTCTGACATGGTCTGCAAGAATTTGGCCCTTGTAGGGTTAAACCTAGAGACAGTATTGGAGGGGGTCTAGAGTGGCAGTGTGCAGAAGGTTGTAGAGATTCTAAAAACAACCTTGGCTCACTGATGATAGCAGTAGAATCGGTGCAGAATGTCGGAATGCAGTGGGCTAGAAATTGTAGAAGCAACATCAGGACAGCAACAGGAATTGTAGATGCAAAATTTGGACTCTGAAAATAGATCATAGATTGCAAAAAACTGGAATGGTGAAAATAGATGAAAAATGCATTGTGTTAATGTTTTAAAGAAGTATTTGCAAATGAACGGTTATAAAGTAAAATGAAACAAGGCGTAACTCAAGGTTTTATTTTGAGATACCCCGCAAAACCCTTGTAAACCTTGTAAAACCTCAAGGTGAACCTAAACTTAACGACTGTCTAATTTTCCATTGCCCTGTTTCTAGTGTATTCGTAGCCCAATTTTGTAGTCTAATCTAAACGAAAACCTGTGAATCTGATAATTGATTGGCTAGGTGTTTCTGAAGTATCACCACGTTGAGGACTTGGACTGTCAGCTGGAGAAACACCACAAGTTGGCCAACTTAGTCCAGGCCATCGTCAAAGGCTGGCTGGCCAGGGTACGCTACAAGAAACTCCTGAGCCGGAGACTGTCCAGCGCTGTCATCCTCCAGAAAAGTGAGTGGCCTTTAACATTCTAACACTACGAGTCAAAGTGGATTTCAACAGTAGCAGTTGGGGTTATACTTCAGTTTACAGCAGTTGGAGGACCCATTGTAGCATGTGTATGTCTTTGCCACGCTGTGGCTGTTCGGAACATAGTTCACCTTTGTGACCTGTCACCACAAAATGAGCTGAAAGTCGGAATTTTTAAAAATTGAGATATTGGTAGTTTTGAATTCAGCAGAAAAAGAGCTTTCCCGTGGTATGTGCATCGAATACTTAGGGTAAAAGTATCAGGTGACAAAGGGACATTATTCTGCCAGCTTTGCGTCTGTGTTTCCGGCATATTTTCACTATTTCAGACCAGGCCCGAATAATGCTATCGTCAAAATAGCTGAGAAAATGACATTTTTAAATGTATGATCTTGTGAAATATTTGGAATTAAATAGGAGACGGGTTACAATTTCCAAATATTACAAAACCTCAAAGCTAACCTTCGCTTCAGTATGACTTTGAACCCTCAAAATAGGAAAGAGCGAGATGTGACTTTACTCTCATTTTGTCGTAACAGGTCACATTTATTTTGTTTTTTTCATTGACCCTGCACGTGTACATGTAGTTGAGACAGTATTGTGGCAAATTGTTATGGCTGTGCACTACACTCGTTTCTTGATTCTAAAATATACAATTGAGAATGCTGTGGACTTCCAGCATTGCTCACAGATTTTTCCCCAGAAACGTTTTCTTCAAAAACTTGCCCCTCAAAAAGCATTACATGGTCAGCATTACAGACTGTCCGCAATTCAGAATTTTGCAGCACCCCTGGAGGCACGTGGGTATGACACTGTGTACTTGTTCATTCATTTTCACATTGGTACTTCTCTCAGTCTGTGGCCCCTTCTGTAAAGTACCATATTCTCCCTTTGATATTCGGCATAACACTTGTGGCTCCAAGAAAGTCCCAAGCACAACTGGCAAAGAAAGACAGTCTCTGTCTTGAAAGTTTCAAGCTGTTGCTTGTGATTGCTTGTAATGTCGTAACTAAGGGAATAAATATGTTCTTGGCCAGTCTTGAATGTCATTAGCAGTAGGAGAATGAAAACTGATACAGGCCTAAGCCAAAGATGAGAGACATCATCAGCATTCATTCTTCATGCACATATTTACTCCAGTTTATAAATAACTTCTGAGAGGGAAGTCACAAGTTACAAAATTTATAAATTTCCAATGATTTTACTTCAGTTTTTTGTCAAACATGGTATGGTATTTGCGAATGTTTAATTAACTGTTTAAGACCGGCCAAGTGACGGGCTCTCAACCAATAGGAATGGCTAGCCTATCTGCGGTATTTATGAATGTGTGTTCAGTCACAGTATTATCTATAGCTGTGGTCTGGTACGTCTTATTCTCATGTAGGGATTCGAGGGTGGATGGCTAAGACGAAGTACGAAAGGATCAAGTTGAGAAGATTCATTGCCGCTGTCATCATTCAGAAAGGTGAATACGTACTCATGCACTGGAACATCCCAGAACCTTCATCCGAAAGTTCCCATCTGCTTTGTGTCTTTCCTTTTCCGTCATTCATTCTGTCTTTGTTGTCCGACGTTCTTTGACCACAGGTTTGTAGGTTTTGTTCCCTCTTTCAAAACGTGATCCGTCCTATTCTGTCTCCTGAATTCACTGTGTAGTTGCTGGTGCATGGTCTTGTTGATTTGTGTGAGCTCACAAATTGATATGATTGGAGCACTCCTATCTGTCTCATTTCTTGAGACAGTGGTATTGGAGTCCAGCTTTTGTTGCTCACTTGTCTTCATTTTCCATGAAATAATTTCAATTCAAAGATCACGCAGAGTTCTTTATGGGCGACCCATTTCAGTTTACAATCCTCCTGGTTGTTTGAAGGTTTTCGGAAGCATTTGACGAGAAAGAGAGAACAGAGGGAGCTTGCAGAGAGGCAAGAGAGAGCAGCTGTGCAAATGCAGGCCTGCTACCGTGGCTTCAAGACAAGGCAGAGGATCCGGGACGAGCAGAAGTTCACCAGGATGGTAGTCGCTCTGCAAGCGGGTGAGTGGGCCAGCTTTGAATCTCAAAATGTAGGAGTTTAAGTGTGCAAACCAGTGTAAACGGGGATGACATCATAGTTTTGCACATGAATATGGAAAAGCTCATTTGCATAAAACCCAAGAAGGTAGTACAATACCCTTTCAAGCAGTGAAACAGATATTGAAAGTGAATTTATCTGGAATACAAGAGGTGAATTTTGGAGGTTTTGATTAAAAAATGTCCAGGGAGACACTCAAGGCACTGAGTTCAGACATGCAAAACAGCCTTTAATCCTAACTTTCCCAAATTCCCCCAAATCTCTTTGCATTCATGTAAGTAGAGGATATGAGGGATTGAGTTGTGGGTGATTTCAAAGGATGTGTTGTGCTGAAAACATGTGGTAGCAAATCTTATTGTCTTAACCACTTGCTGCCAGGTGGATTTTTCTTGAGCAAGACAAGATGCCAAGATTTTCCGTTTTCAAAAATGGCCGTTTATACCAAAATGAAGGACTCTTTGGGCACTATTCTAAAGCTGACAGGTAAAAATTCATTGACTCCTGAATATTTCAGCCTGGCCTGCGGCCTTGGAAAAAGAGCCCAGATTGTGCGGTGTTACGTAAGATTCTTTTGTTCCCGAAACTGGCACAGTGCACTGCTGACCTCTTTTCGATAGGGGCCAAATTAGCGTGCAGTGCTGTGTGGCTCATCGCTGCGGTGGTGGAGAGCTTTGTCCCCGGTGGTAATCTGCTCGCTCTAAATGCCTCAAACCGCGGTATACGGTTTCAAAACAAGGCTGGATTATCTCCACTATTGAGAGCGAAATAATGTCGGTAATGCCCAGCAGCTCAGTCTTTTGTGGTGAGCATGGTCTTTTGTTTTAAGGCCCAACTCTTTTGTTCCAGTTCCGGGCTCCCCGGCGCTGCATATAAGCCTATGTACTCGAAAACGGGTTGCCTGGCAGGGAGTGGTTAATGGTCGTAATTTTGCTCTGTGCGTAAAAAATACTGGTTTCTTTGAAGGGTTTTTAGGAGAGAATTACATGTACTGTAGAAGTCAAAAATGAATAGCTTTATTTGGCACCTTTGCAACAAATTCAGCAACTTTTATACCTGAAAAATTTCCTAGTCGTTCATGGACCAGCAAAGCTGATATCTGACCAAAGGTGCCTCTGTTGCTTAGAACATTTCACCCTCTCTTGGTCCAGCTCAAGGTTCACAATGGGCTTCGTCCATCATTCATTGATCAACAAAGACAAAAATATGGCAAAGCTTTACCTTCCCATTTTTCCTCTTGCCTCATGAACCCCAATGCTCCTGGTCCCTTCAAAACCCAAGAGGAAATTTCTGACTGTTTTTGCAAGATTCGGGAATGCAGAGTCAACTGTTTCCTTACGTGATGAAGCTTAACCACTTCATGCCGGGGCATTTTTCAATGTTAATGATGCTGGGCCGGCATGACTATCAGTTTTTTCGTTTTCAAAATCTTTCAAAAATTCATCATTTCATTCAACGGTCGTTTATAGCCGCACGAAGTAATCGCTAGGCACTACTCTAAGTTGACAGGTGACCTTCATTGACGCCCGAGTATTTCCGCCAGGCCTGCAGCCTTGTAAACAGAGCCCAGATTGCGCGGTGTTATATAACTGTCTTTTGTTCACGAACCTGGCTCAGTGCACTGCTGACCTCTTTTCAATAGGGGCCAGATGAGCGTGCAGCGGTGCTGTGCTGCTGATCACTGCGGTGTTGGAGCGTTTTGTCCCCGGTGGTAATCCGCTCGCTCTCAATGCCCCAAATCCTGGTATACGGTTTCAAAACAAGGCTGGATAATCACCACTTTTGAGAGTGAAAAATGTTGGTAATTCCCAGCAGCCTGGTCTTTTGTTCCGAGTATGGTCTTTTGTTACAGGGCCCTGTTTCCTTTGTCCGAATTTGGAGACCCTGGCCACGCATATAAAGCATACGTCTCCGATTGCAGAGTCCCCGGCAGGAAGTGGTTAATGCCCCATTTTAAAAATTCACCACCGAGACTGTAGATCGGTCTGCGGTGAGAGTGGCTGCTGCCTATGTGTAGATTCAGTATGCCTGGAAAGTAACAGGATTTACAGTAACATCTTTCCTAGTTTTCTGAACCAGTTGATGGTGGCATTGTTTCACGGCAAAGTCATGGAATTTGACTTCCAGATTTCTGTAGAAACCTTGAACTCGGGATGGGGCAAGTTAAGACGTCTGCCTGGCCAATCACCAGGAACAGAAAGGGGTGCCACTGGCAGTCACGCACGCAGCTTTTTGGCTGCTGTTGCAAGTACATGTACATGTATGCATCAGTGCATAACTGCACAGAGCACACTGTGTACCAATCAATCCTGGTAGTTGGCAGGAAAAGCGCCCTCTTTTGTCAAACTGTAACAAGCAGCTATATCGAGGGTGTCTAGGTCTCACATTGGCAAAGATATAGATGTACGAGAATAAGCAAAGTGAGCTTGGGTATCCATTTTCTTGGCAGGGCTAGAGCGGTATATATTTCTGAAGGGAAAACAATCATCACTGTTCAGGCTGTCAAGTAATTGAACTTGATGCGAAATTTTCTCTGGATAGTTTGTACAGTTTGCAGTATTTTGACCTGAGCTTTATAGGCAAATCCATACTGAAGATTTTTTTTTAAATCTTCATTTGACACATTTAACTTATTGTCAGAAATTTTGCACAGGTTTTGCAGACTGGGCGGTTGGTTTTGTTTGATTTGAAACTGGTCTAAATGTTTCAAGATCACCCCCCATCCATTTACTCTGGGATTTAACCAGAAGACTTTTAAGTTAGCAGACAATTAACCTCCACAGTTTCAGGCATCAACACATTCAGTTTGTCAGTTTTTTTTCTTGTTAAAACTTTGAACATTGTTACTCATTCAACTCATCTGAGTTAGCATTCAGTTTACATCTTTAAATACTGACCAGTTCAAGTTACTTTGTGTCTGTGAATCTTGTTTTTAAATCTAGAAAAACAGAAATTCTCTCCTGAAACTCCTTATTGATTTCCTGACAAATACCCAAAATATTTTCAGTGGTATTTGTGTTTGTGCTGACCCAAATTGCAGAAAGACGCCATAAATATGCAAATTTAACAGTTTGACAATATTTGCTGGTATGGTTTAAGGCAGGGATACATATCCCATTTGCAAGCTTAGAGCAATTAAGTGCATATCTATAAGCATGAAAATTCCTACCAACCTTGAGGATTTTGAGAATGTGTGTAGTGGGTTATGAATTCATTTGGGGTCACTTACTCTGCTGCTCAGACGTACATTTTACATGTTATTCTTTCTCTTGGATTAAACTGAGGGTATTGTGAGTTGCTTTGTGTCATTTAAAGTGCAGGCCACATTAGTTTGGATATTTTTTACTGTGTTAAATGGATTCATGACCATTGGTGGGCACAAACAGTTGCACTTTACCGGAGTGTGGAGGAAGTCTCAACCGACTGCCCAACCTTGAAGGCTCAGACTGGCCCAGTAACCTTAAGTGGGACGACGGAAGACAATACTCCTCCAAACGTCCCTGAGGTACGCTCTGACATGGGTGACCTAACGCCGCCCCCCCACCTTGAAATCGGCGAGAACCCCGAAGCCATTTACCAGACAGTTGCAAAGAAAAGCCTGAGAGGGGCAACTTCCGAGACGCTGAGAGCGTCTGCCGGTGGGACTGGGAGGAAGAATGCAGACGGAGACAGAGAGACAAATAACAAGAGTGCAGAGGGATCTCGCGGGGATCCTACAGAGACATTCAAACCGGGGCACTCAGAGGACAGCCTGCCGTCAGGTACAGCCCACGCTCAGGAGAACTCGTGCTCAGAGAATGTCACCTCTGGGAAGACAACGTCAGTGCCGTCAGGAGAACAGTGCGCCGTCTTGATCCAGTCAGGTTGGCGGAGGCGTTTTAGTGGCCAATTGTTTGGTGACATTGGTGGAGCCCTTTTTTTTTTCCCTTGTCGAATCGTCCTTGTTTTAGAGTTAGTATCACTGTAGTTTGTGCATTGTTGAGCACAGTGAGCATGATGCATGTGCGTGGTGGTGCCATTTCTTGTGTCTTGTAAAGTGAAATGTAACATTTATAGTTGTTTGAAATTGTCTGCATGATGTTTTCCGTGGGTAGAACTTTGCTATTTGTTGATATGAAATATGTCAAGTTTGGATTTAGTTTTCTTTTTTTTTTCCTGGTGTCAGATAATTGATCTGCTATGATCATGACCTGACAAGATCAACAGACTGAAACAGTGCATCTGTACACATTTCTGCAAAACAGTATCATGTTAGCATAAAAGGATTAAGAAGTCCTGTTGGCCCAATCAGTTTCTGAGTAGTCTTTTTTGTATCTAACACAAAGCAGAGGTGGCTTATTCAGGTAATATGTTCATACGCGTATGCAGAACATTTTGTCAATTTTATTAGAAACAAAAAAGTTAACTTGAAAGCACTTGAATCTCACTTGCCATACACTTTGTAAGAATTTGATTGTTGTTACGGCTCTTGAAATAAAAACATTCAGTACACACTAAAATGTGCTTTTGGCATAAACATACTTAGCAATATAAGGCAAACTTATTCATACTCGCAGACAAACATGGCCTTCACATGTATGTTCATGTCATTCATGTTTTCACAACTTACAGTTGAACAGATGGCTGACTTCAACACTTCTGCCAGGCAGTAGACAAGTTAGTCTGCGTTCCACAGGCATATTCATGTTCAGTATTATGCACACTGAATGTAAGCAGTCTCTTTCAGTTTTTGTGAGATGGCTAGTTTGGTCTGTCAGTGATTTCAACGTCTACCCTATGGGTCTTGTTTGTCATGCAATGTGCATGTTGAAGTCATGGGAGAACATGCAAGCATGTCTGTTCACTATTGACATGCTGGACAACCCTCTGTGTGGCCATGGCAAAAACGTTTACCATGATGCTGCCATGTTTGTCCTGTTCCCTGTAGATCCACTGGCTAAAATAATACAATGCCACATATTGATAACAGGGAACAGACTATTTTCCTTCTCGCCTCAGTTTGGTTACATTGCTTTGAATGGTAAAAAAGTAAGATGGCTGCCCTATGGTAAATGTCTATAGATGAAGTCCTATATGGTATGTACTCTCTCTCTGTGTTCTCCAGAGCGGATGGAGTAGTGTTAAGCAAACAAAACCTGGTCGTGCATCACTTTATATCAAGTTCATGTCATCACTGGCGAATCCCCAAGTGCAGCCTTGAGGGCGATGTTGTGTTGATTGCTCAGGAAAGAATCTGACGAACTCCCTTTTTTTGGCTTTCTGCACTGTCTTTGTTTTGCAAAGATAATAAATTTCTTTGATTTGTAGATACATGTATAGTTATTTGTAGACATCTCCAGATTGAAGGAATCTTTAATTGAAGAGAACACCTAGCTCCTATCGTACCTCTTGTCAGGCTCACCACCCTCCGAATGACCTCGATGGTCAGTTTCTAACAATTGTGCTCCCTTCAAATACACCGACAAGGCACTGTTTGACAGTGTGGCTAATTTCCAATTAAAATAACCCTGAATAAAATGCCTGAAAAAACCTTGACCCTTTCCATCCAACCATAGTCAGTTGACCATGAAGCGGTAAAGCCCTTTGATTCCAATTGCTGTTTTTTGCCATATTTGATCTTTATAGTTACCCTTTTTTGACAACAGAACCTGAAATATCTTTAGTAGGATAGGTAATATTTCACTGACCACGCTGGACTTGCTTGGCCTAGCGCTTTGTAATATTTGAGTTTTGTCTTGTCAGTGTGTAATATCCAACAAACTCTCACTCGGGAGGAAGCCGAGTGTGAACAATTGGCCCCCAAATTGACACTTGATTGAAAACCGAAACGCCGTGAAAACTGCCACAGCCAACCCCTGTTATTGCTGGCCCAAGCCTTCCTCTGAAACATTATGGACAGACTTTCAGGAGTTTTTGAAGAAAAAAAAATGAAAATGAATTAATCATGGAATACTGCTGGCAACGTGAAGGGACCAATTCTTTGTGAGCAAGAAATGACAATGGTTCCTGTTCCCTTGAGACAGACAATACTTGTCTGGCCGCCTAATCTCCCACCCACTGAGCCATTCAGTTATCCATTTTCCAAGTCAGCCGCCTAACACCCTATGATAGCAGAGGCGCATTATCATTAAGCAGGCTTGTACAGCGAATTGATTTTCATTTGTGCAGCATGAACTGTCGGGACTTAACAAGCAACTCCTATCCAAATTGATATTTTATGAACGGGAAGCGCATTAAGGCCCTTTTGCCTTTAGTATTCAGCACGCTAGATTTACCCAAGGAAAGCTGTCTGATCTGAGGCGTGAACGGCACTTCATTAGACTACGGCATTGTCGCCACCACTAAATTTTTTACATTGTGCTGAAACTGGACATGGGTTTATACACAGAGTTTGCCTCATCCCGGCTCATTCCCACTCTTCAACAAATGACGTGCAAGTGTGCGCTTGGTTAATGGCCGTGGAGTCTGCTGGCCCAGTAATTATGCCGCTTCTCACTGATGGTTTCCAAAATGACGCGCCGAGCTCCCCTCGTCTCATGAGGTCATTTAACAAAGATGCCTTGTTGAGAGGCTACAGAAAAACGACAAGCTGTGCATTTTTATGATGATTTTGTATCGTTCTCAGTGTGTGTGTTTTTGGTTGACATTGTTGATGGAAATGTTATTCCTTAGCTCTTATTCTCTTTTTCACAGTGGTATCTTTGCATTGCCTTATTTTTTTCATACCTGTTTGCATGTCCCCTGGTTTGTGTTTTAAAGCCACCCATAGCCCACCACTGTAAATGGACTGTCCAGTTGCTATGTACACATGTAAACATGCAACCAAAAAATTTAATTATATTTAAAGTGAAGCCATATTTCTTCATTCTTTCCTCCTTGGCCTTGAGAAAGCCAAAAAGCCTGGCAAAATTTTCAGTAGAGTGTAATCCACTTGTATATTCTGCATTGTGAATGAACTTATATCTTGTGATTTTCATGCATGTCTGTGACAGTTATGTTACATGAACCCAAATCATTTAACTCTTGTTGTCAGGCCAGTGCACATACCTTCTTTTTATTGCACAAAAACCCTTTTCCTTTTGTTCCGTCCCCCCATTATTTTATATTACAAAGTTGTGTAGGCCAGTAGTCCTTCGATCGCATGCCAGTTTACCTTGAAAAAAATGTCGCATGGAGGAATGGGGTTTGGACATTGAACTGACTCAGCTGAGGGTAAACCAAATGGTGTTATTTACGTGACATCCCTGTTACAATTTGATAGACAGTTTCATAACAGGTTGCATGGTATCTTGCAACTCCAATGCCTCAAAAGATAAGTTTTTTCAGTGTACCTCAAAGGAGGACAACTGTCCTGAAAAAGTTTGATGGGGTCGTACTTTGTTCAAACCTGTATTTGTATTTCATTCCCATCAGACAGCATGAAATGTGGAAAGGATAGTAATCATTTGGCCGGAAAAAAGTTTTACGCATATATCTAAAGAGCTGATGTCAAGTTGTGCCGTTTTTCCATGAAAGGGCTGCAGACACAGCAATTTGTGCAGATATCATTCCTCCTCAAGCTATCCCAACATAAAAATGAGTTCCTCCTTTTCTGTTTTTCTTCCCAAAATAAGTTTTAGTTACCCTGAACCTTTCCCTCTTTTGCAGTTGCCAGAGGTTTCCTAGCCAGGCGGAATGTCCAACGGATGGTGGAGCAGCGACGGTGGAATGCTGCCCTCCTCCTGCAGCGGTGGCTACGTATGTGGAAGAAGCGCCGCCTCTACCAACAGCTACAAGCCTTCACTTCCCAGCAAGAGACTTGGATGATTTACTTCTTCTTGCAGGTGATTTTTATGCCCCGCCGACAAAGGCGAAGAGGCGTACCGTTTCTGCTGTGTCACTCCATGGCGGTGTGCGTCCGAACAAGTGTTGTTAGCATAATAGCCTGAGAACTGCTTGACCTGAGAAATTCAACTTGGGTTTTTTATCAAAGGTCCTAAGAAGCTTAATGCATTTCGGGTTGAAAGGTCAATAGTCAAGGTCAAAATGGCTAAAATAAAATAAAATTTAACTGTAATCACAACTTAAAGTTCTGGGTACAGGTATTGGCCTGGCGGGTCATTGGTGATCGTTAATACATCATTCTTGGTTTTTTAATCAGAGAAGGAACGTAAAAACATTGAAAATTCAGGATATGAAATCCCCAGCTCCACCATGAACACAGGCCTTTCTTTTGCTGAATTGCAGTTAAAGTTTTTGCCAACTAGTGGTCGGCAATCTGCATCTGGCTTTCAGTACAAAAACACAAGAATAATTCACAGTGTTTCAGGGAAGGAGGTTGAACACGAGGCTGTCAAACCCTGGACATTAAGGAAGATGTACCGTCCTTCCCATTCCTAGACTTTGGGAGAGGAAATGGGCTGTAAGATCATTATCCCTCCGATTTTCACACCAAGGCTGAACCATAATGAACATAGAAGAGCAAAATCATCTCACAAAACCTAAGCCTCTTCTGAATTATTTGGCTTGGAAGTGTTCATGACTCTATGGGAACTGGCTCAGCCATAACCATAGACCATTAAATTTCAAGCCGCAACCAAATGATTTGGGCATGGCCTTACTTCAATTTTAACAGTGCAAACTGGCTTGAATGGGCATAAAACTGTGCATATTTACCTTTATCTATCATAAATGATTGATCTGTGGAGTGCTGGGACTAGTGAAATCGTCCAAAGAAACCTTTGCTGATGTCTGAGAAATATGATGTTGAATTGAGGTCTTGAACTTAAAAAGAGAATGCTCTGAAAAAATGCTCCCCCATGACTTCAACCATCAACCTTTCCAAAGATGTTAATATTGCACATCATAAACTAAAATGGAGTCCACAACAATGCCGTGGTTCGTCTCGGGGCACAGTACACGTATAGCACTACCAGAGTTTAAGAACTTATCCTGAACTTTTTCATCTCTGTAGGTGGACCACTACGGGGAAGAGTTTTATCGGTCAGCCGAGAGAACCAACAGCCCCGTGTCCACTGGTGCCATCCAGATACAGAAAGTCCTCCACAGTGGCAAGACGGGGTTATCGGAGCGGAGGTTGAAGCACCTCCACAGGTCACACGATGTCAAGATGCCATTCTCGCCTGAGGACGTGTCCTACTACCACAGTTTTGGGGACGGCAGTGCCACGGACAAGGTGTACAGACGGAGTGGCCTGCAAACTGGGTAATGTGGGGTTTTTTGGAGGGGGGGAAAGGAAGATTATGAGGGGCACAGTCACTCTGCGGAACTTTAAGGCAACTTAGGCTAAAATAGTGTTTGGGAAAAACAAAGACATTCTTCTCATCGTGTATTGAAACTACTCAGCCAGTTCAGATGTTATCTTCTTGGAGATTGCCTTGAACCAGTCGCAGCCACTTTGCCCTTAAGTGACGCTGCTGTCAATGAAGTTGGGACTGTCACTTTTTAATAGAATCAATTACCTGGCTGCAAGAGTCTATACCGTAAATTTGCATTTGGCTTGTATTGAACCTCTAAGGACTTAAATCTGTCCTGACGATGTTATCGGTCTCCATAATAGCTATCATGCATGTGCGGTCCTCACAACACAGGAACAAGTGTATATGTATGGGCGTGTAGGCCATGTCTTAGAGGACAGGTGCAGAAAGGGAATACAGGATTTCCCCTGTCCTCAGTAGTTAATCTTTTGTTGATAGTCAGTCCCTGAAACTGAAGTGTGTGTAGCCTGTGGGAGAATGTTACAGGAACAAAGGGAAACACATTGAGGTGATGTAATTCACAATGTGTGTTTCCTCAGTTGTGCAATGACTTTAAAAAAAATTCGAACAAAATTTTCTTTCAGCGAACTCAAGGAGGCAGGCTCCTCAAGTGATAGTGACTACTACAACAGAATAGCCAAGGAAGCCAGCCAACCAAACCCCAGCAGAACCAACGAGAACAGCAATGAAAGGTAGGAATTCCTCAGTTACAGCATACTAAGATAAGTTTTCCACAGGGAGGCCATTTTGAATAGTGCATTATGGGTATAGGCTAACATCTGGGCGCCCATTAGCACTTTTTTGCACAAGTTCTTACCAGTGAGTACAGTTTTTATGAAGTGCATTTTTTAAGTTGGATGAGTGTATTTTCAAGGCTTCCAAATGTATTTATATGCTGCAGGCAGACAGTGAAGAACAGATTATCTAGTGAGGGATAAATGTAAGCAGGTTGTCTCTATGGAAGTTGGAAAAAAGCCTCACATAGGCAAAGGTTGAGACAGAATTTTCAATCACTTGCACTCAAGATAATTGGCATGTTCAGTGGTACAACTGAACTGTGACGGTTTTCAGGAGGTATCAGCTATGGTTCAGTCAGGCTTGCCTATCGCACCAATGCATCTCAGTTTCTGTTAGCTTGAAATACAGTGTGTTCAAAATTGTACTTGGTTAACTCCTCGTGAGAGTTTCTCTGCTAGTTAAGTTTTTTCTTTTATTTAGTGAGTCATCAGTTCCTGGAATGCTTCATGGCTTTGGTTACCATGACACCGACGAAACACATGAAGATAAATTGCCATACAATTTACCAAGTCATGGACAAAAGCAAGTATGTTTACGAAAAACTACTTATTATGCAGATGAGTAGGCCCTTGGCTATGTAAATGAGATCTATGCAAATTAAGTTGACCTTGAGTAACACATCATTGAGACATGCTTTTTATAGTTTTTGGGTATTTGGTATGTACATTGTTGAAGCTTGGAATGAATGACTAGAGACAAGTTTGCCATTTGCATTGAATGTGGCCTTTGTTGGGGATTCTGTCGTCCCCTGAACATTTATACGTTGTTGATATTTCGGTTTCCAAAATAATAGCAATCTCCAGAACACGGTGATCGGCATCACAGCCACTCTAACCCCACTGGGAACTCCTCTGGGAATGCTTTGACCCAGTCATCCAATTCATCCAATGAACGTCGATCCAGTGCTGGTGACAGGCACCAGACTGATACTAATCAGAGCACGGTAAGCAATGGACTGGTAAGGGCACAGCAAGGACGACAGCAGCACCTGTGGCAAGGCGTTCTGAAGCGGCACGAACAGCAACATCCGAAGATTATACCACAGCATTCAAAGTATGCTGTACAAGTAGAACCACAGCAACAGCAGCAGATGTCTTGGAATCAACCCCAGCTCCACCCGCAGCGGAAGGAGATCCTGAGCAGGGCACGGCAGCTGCAGAGCTCGCAATGCAACGAGCCAGAGGTCAGGCAGTCTCCGGAGCCCCAGCAACAACAGCAGCGGCAATTTCAAATTCGACAGCAAACCCTAGACAGTGGGCAGGCCCGTCTCAGCAATGGGCATGCCAACGGTTCAGTCTCGTCCAGCCATTCCGAAAGCTCATCCGACGGCAGGTATTCACCCAGTGATGCTCTAAGGAGGAAAAGTGTCAGCTTTGCTCAAGAGGGCGACTCTGGCAAACAGCAGAAGACAAATCAGTGAGTCACATTGTCTCTCTCCGGCCCCAAACCATTACTTGTCTGATTTCACTGTTCTCCAAAGGATGTACATTTATTGCACATTTGGGATGTATTGCTGACAGTTCATGAAGAATACTTTCAAGAAAATTAAACTTGATTGGTGACAAAAACACAGACAACACAAACACAAAATACCAAGAATAAAGAATTTAACGGGTTGGAAATGACCTTAGTGCAAGTATTCACAGAGTCAACAGTGCAGTTAACTTCGTTACAAAGTCCCCATCAAGTACGTGCCCCACCGAGCATGAAAATATATACTCCCTGCTCTGCAAGTGTGAAACATCCCCTTAGGGCAAATCAATTACACACTCGGAAGATGATCCAGCAACTCAAAAACAAAACACAACTATCGGTATATGATTTCCCGATCTGCCGAGAATCAAAGCTGTGCTTGGATGTAAGAGATATTCTGGTTCCGTGGCCCAAAGCAAAGGGGTGGGGGGGAAGTCCGGAGTTAGTGCACTTTCATCAGAAGGTCACGAAACAGCAGCTACAAGTCATGTAGAAAAGACAACGGGGACGGAAATCAAATTAAGGTATTCAGTCAGTGCCATCTGCCATGCATGTTACCTCCAAGTGTTTCTTGCCTGTCGGGCAAGCACCGTTCGGAAGCAACACCAAGGGGACAGGTGTATCCTTAGGCATCCGAGGATTCCAGTGTGGTTGTGGTATGACAGTACATTAACAGCCGGCGGAAAGAAAAACTTAGCGATTGATCCCAGGAAATGTTGAGTTCCCGCTTGATATACTTGGCATGCATTTGATATTAAACACAAATCGGACAGTTTGGGTGGGCATTATACTTACATTTGATGTCACAATGGAAAATACCCATTAGTTGTTTCTTGTCTTTTAAATCTTTCATAATCCTTTGCATTGTGCTTTCAGGTCGTCACCCTCCAGTCAGCCAAAGCGCAAGGAAATACTGGTCTCCAACGACGGGACGTTTGATGTCAAAGCTCTCCTCCGGAGGTCTACTCAAAGGGCGATTCTCTTGTCATGAGCCTTCAACCCTTATTTTTTAAAAGGAAAGCAACATTAACCCTAACGGTCCCAAATCCTCCAATGTCAATATGATTTTACATGCACCCTAGGGGGTTAGGGTTAATTTGTTTAAGCTCTACATTTTGTTGACAAAGCAGGTTTGATGCCTGTACACAAGTATAATTATGACACAGCAGTCTGTGTACGAGGTTTAATCTCAATGCCTCTGAATGTATGAAGAATGATATGAGAGTTTGGTTACTTTAGATTTGGATGACTTGAAAATGTCATCAGATCCCGAAGCCTTACCAACACTTTTTTATATCTGTTTAGTAATTTTTTTGTAAAGCACTGTACACATTTAGCTCATTATTTTCGTACTTCACTTTGAAGCATCCAGGGATATAAAAACTGGCATTGTTGCTGTGAAATCTTAGTATTTGCCAGTCTGTTGTGTGGTAAAACTCCAGTGTCATATCCTGCCACTTTTGGTGGTATCAGGTCACAGCTGCTTCTTAGAGGTGCGCACATCAACACGATGTGTGCTTTTATCAATTTTGTGGAAAACTTACCACTAGCAAAGTTTAAATTGTTAGCCGAGACTCCTGAATGTAGACCATGACATTTTACACTTCTCTCCTCTTTTTGAATGAGCATAGGTACATTTATTAATAAGATTAATATAACTACAAGATGAGATATGCCTTTGAAAAATCTATGTATGTATATATTGCTGAAATAACTCAAGTTGTTACAGATTGAAAGTTCAAAAATTATATTTATTACTGTTATTAGTGAATTTCCATGCCTTGGAATAGAGAACCAACGTTAGCAAAATGTTTTTTGCCTGAAATAGAGAAGTGTAGCAGTACGTGTGATTCACAGTAGCGTGCCTCCAAGAGTTTGCAGCGCGTTGACCAATCACAGTGCGCGAAATCTGTCAAGCCTTTCCAAATGTGCATTGGGGTGACAGATTTCGCGCACTGTGATTGGTTGACACATGGCAAACTCTTGGAGGGGCACTCCTATTGTGAATCGCCCGTGTTCATGTGAAACAATTTCCCCAAAATTGCAGGGTTTTCCTCATTTGTTTTCATTATTGCAGTGTTTATTTAGAGCTTTGGATAATTTGTGGTGTTTCTCCTTTTGATTTTACAACTCAAGATTGGAACCGAATGAGGTCTCTTAATTATCATTGACGGTATTCATCAGGAGATATGAGTTTGGTTGAGTACGTCACACTCTACACCACCCAACACATCACCAGTCCAGCTCGTAACACGTCCCCGACGTGCAGTGACTAATAAGATGGGATGTGATTGTCGTGATTGATTTCAGCACTGTTTGGAAGATGGAATGTATTCGCTGTTTGGCCCAACAGATCGTGTGGTTCTCGAGTTGGATTGGCCATTGGCATACATGTGTTTCAAACACACTCCGTTGCATTCACACACGAGAAGGTCTTTTCTCACTCTGAGCAATTTTTTTTCAAGCAAAGCACTTGCGGTTTCATTATCAGCAGGTGGTAACAGGTTGTAGAAGTTTTCTAAGCGCACAGTAATCTGTCCAAATTTTTCAGTTTCATGTCATGTTTTGTTTCATTGAAACTACTGGTTAGGAGAGCAGCCACACTGGCTATTTGCACCGGGAAGAATACTGCTGGGATGAGTGCCTTAAGGGGCGAGTGGTATACCCACCCCAGACGAAAAAAAAAGGACGTAGAAGGAAATGAGGAGAAAGAAAGACGCCTGTGTTGTTTTGTTTATTTTTTGTAGTAGTTACTGGAAAGGAGTCTAAAACGCAGCTTGAGCCCGTACTCGGCCATTTCCCTCTCTTAGCTCTTGACCCATATGAGAATGGTGACAAAGAGCACTGCCATGCCGCTGTTCCCATTTTCATGCCTTTATGTAATCTTGACGTAAGTAATAGCTGAACCCGACGGACCGTCCACGAAATCCATGCGTACAAATTGCATTCAGACCCACGTCTACTGTCTGCACTCATCACGTGCAGTGGTTTGCACACCAATCCGCGGCCGCAGCGTTGCATGTCCATTCCGATTCCATGTTTCTCTTTGACTCGGTATCGGAGTGGATTCGCTGATATCGATAAGTTGTAAGATTTTCGACGTATAAAAGCTTGTCCCAGTGAGAGAGCAATTTAATTACATGTTAAAGGCAAAAATGTGCACCGCTTGTGCACGAATTGCTTCAGAGACCGCCCGCGCACGTCAGGTGCATGTGCGCGACGTCCCCCTTTTCCCCCGCGCCTTATGGATGGCCTTGACGAGGTTTTCATTTCAAGGGTAGCTAAGTCCGATTCACTTCACATGGAAAGATCTCAAATAGTGACGTGTAATTACGCAGTTGAACCATTTTTTACGCCGTTACCACAGAGTGCAGTTTTTATTTAATTTAAAGCAATTCCATGTAGGCATACTAAATTTTGAAGAAAAATATTGCACAAGTGAATTTGTAGAAAGTGTATCTTTTCAATCAAATTAGATCACTGCGTTGGATATACTTCGTGTTAACGACTGGAAGGTCTGATTTGTGACAAAAAATATATCTTATTGGAATTTGGAATTAAGTTATAGTTTCATATAAAACTGATCCATTGTTTTCTTGGCTCTTGTAGTTCAGCTGTTAAATATTATGAATGTGACTTATCTCGTTTCTTGATAAATATTGAGCTTTTAGATGTGTCCTCATTATGTTTCAAAATAGTGTATTACAGAATACATGTGTATTTTCTTTTGCCAAAATGCATTGTGAAACATGTAATCACAATAGGTACACTCACGAAAAAAAGTCTTGTTTTCAAATTTGATATCAATAACTGATACCAGTGGTATTTATCAACATCTTTCAAACGTCTTTCAGAAATCAATTTTACGTCTGACTTTAGGGTAGGCATATACTAAGTGGTAGCCTGTTTCGCTTAAGTCTTCCGAAAAGCTCTTCCTAGGTTACAGTAGGCCTACAGCAGATGAACAGGTCTTAAAATGTTCGAACAAATTTTTCAGATTTTATTATCGTTACTTTTATGCACATCGGGTGGATTGCACATAGATAAATAGAGGACAGGAGGGAAGTTCTCACAGTGTGAACTGGGTTCCAAGGTTGTTACTTTTTTTTAATTAGGGCCTATTTTGAATTTCAGCCGCCGGATTCTACACTAGTGAAACCAGTTGGCTTTGGCACCGACTACGGAACAGGCTTTTTACAAGAGTTGATTGGAACGAACGCACTGTGCACGCAGTGTAGCTGCGGATATCCGCGACACCTGGATGCACAAGGGGTTATAGGGTCGATGTCACCTTGCGGTTAAGCTTACCTCCAAGTTGGAAAGTTCCACAGTGCGTTCGACAAAATTAACAACTGGGGCCTAAACGGTCATCGACGGGATCCAAGAAAGGATCGTGTTTTGAAGTACATGTAAGTTCAAAATTTCGAAAGAAACGTGAACAGCACGATGGTTTCAGTAAGGCTTATGACACGTGCATACCCCGCAGCGTGTGTGCCAACAGAGGTCTCCGGCTTTCCTCGAATGCATGACTAGAGTATTCAGTCATACGTGCCATGTACATGTAGATCAGTGAGTTTCTCTGAAGGCATGAATCGCACGAGGCAGTCAAGGTCATTCGCTGATGAATCATAACTTGCCTGCTTGTCTTTTAAGTACACGTACAGTAATGCACATGTACAATGTACAACGGACAAATAGTGTGTTGACAAGGAAACCTGCTTATGGGAGTGAGAGTAATATAAAACGGACAGGCAGACGTGGTAAGCGATAAAGGGGAACATCCACCGTGCGGCGTTTGTAGACAGTAGTACCATGGAGCTTTTTATAGTATAGATCCATGGTAGCAGCATGTGCTGCGCTGCCTGACATGCACATCAAACCAGTCAAAAGCGAACCTACGATGTTATGAAGAGTTGAACCATGACGCTAGAAAGTTGGAGTACACCTGTACGACGTTTCGAAAGTAGTGTGACGCCTTGAAAAGTTGGACTACGGCGTTTGAAAAGTGGAACGACAACATTTGAAAAGCTGAAGTACGACTTTTTTAAGTTGAACTGCGACGCTCGAAAACTTGAAATACCGTCATTTTTGAAAATTTGTACCATATAAGTTTTAAAATTTAAAGCAAGCCCTTTGAAAATGGAGCCACGACGTTGTCTATCTGTTTTAGAATGCCATTATACATAATTATACCGACAGTAACATTTTGGAAACTCAATACATCGTGTTTTTTAATGTAACTCAAGAGTTCGCATTATCATAAAAGGCCCAGGGTATAGATTACTCTGGCTTCAAAGGAAAAGGTGGCATATTAGTTACAGATCCTATAACCATGATAATAGGCTACACTTGTCATCTTGCCTGTAGCTTGCGTACGTTTACGGTGCTCTGTTGATCTGTTGTGTTGAGCAGGACTGCTTGAAAGATATCCAACGTCAGACTTCATCAGGGGGACATCAAAAGATGTCATCAAGAGTCAAGTGGGTTGTTGGTGGCGTTGTGGTCTGTCTGATTCTCACAGTCATCATTGTGGTGGCGGTAACTGTGTCAAAAGCAAACCGGGTGAGTGCATGTAGGCAAAGAATTAGTGTACTGCGGCTGCGGGCGACCCAAGGTCATGGCGCCACAGCAAGGAAAACAGACGTAGTGAGATTAAATGCCCGTCTGCCCCACCATTTGATTCGATATTTGGAATCGAAGTTAGTTGCTATCCAAGTGATAAGTGATCTTAAAAGATCAGTATCGATTCCGCTGCCATGTGTGTTGGGATGACTGCATTGCCCAAAATACTGACTGTAATGCATACATGGGCCTTTGCTGGTGTCTGCATCCCACAGGCACGCGCATCGCATCAGCTATACACCACTGCAGGACGCAGTTACGCACTCTGGGATTTCCCATCTTTCTTGAAAAGACCAAGAATAATAAGAACAATTCCAAGCTTTCGAACTGCCAGTTTTGTTAATTTTAAGCCTTCTCCTTAAATCTGTGGCAGAATGAAGAAAAATCTGAGGCAGCCCCGCCCACCAACGACCAGCCAAGATTGACCACATTGAAGGGGAACACCGGAGGGCTCGCTCCCACCAACCAACCGGGACTGACCGCATCGGCCACATTCGTAAACAAGAGTGTCACCTTAGCGTCGGTGGCTGTATTCACTGCCGACAGGCTAGAGGTAACAAAATGACTGAAAGTTTGAGTATTGAGAAAACGACTACAGACTTTTCTCTTGAATGCAAAGTTGGAGAGAAGGGGGCCGAGGGATGACGTAGATTTATGTGTTTGGAATTGGCCATTAGTTTGTAGGATAATCAGCTACAACCTGTTATCCAAAGTGAACAATGATAATCTTTAATGACTGATAAATAATGATTGATTATCGATAAATGAGTTATTGATAACCAGAACCATTTTTAGGAAATTGTGACAAACCTTCCTTCAACGACCGCCTATAATTAATACTGAACCCGGAATGGACTGCTTAACAAGAGCAAACCTCAAAAAAATGAAGTATAGGGCATAATTGTTGAGGGGCGTGTACAAAAATCCTTCCCAACGTGTCAAAAGCGCACAGTTGTACCAGATGTCTTTATGTACAATCAAACACCAATAACAAGACTACTGGGATTATACATTCTGTTTATAACAAGATACATTTAAGGTCCTTTAAAACTGATAGGATGGGGTCCTTGTTATAACAAGATAACGTATAAAATCCCCAATGACTTTGTTTTAGAGGTGTTCGACTCATGTACCACATATTCCATTGGAATTTTTGGGTTTTTTTCGGATGATAAATTTATTCAGGTGATATAATCTTCAGAGTTGTCTTATGTCCAGAATTTCCACCCTTACGATTTTCAAGCTGGTATGATAAATGCACAGACTTCACCAGAATATTATACAGAGCCATGGCAGCCACTAGTCCACAAGCAGGTTTGTTCGTTTGGTTTTTTAAATTAAAACTGTCATTATTTGTGCTCTCGCTGAATATCCATCTGTGTGTACTCCTCGCTTCTCTAGATTAAGCTCAACTGCACCTTCCAGTACTACGTCAGTCCGGAGAATTTGCAAATACTCAACGATACTTACGGTCCGGCGTACGAGTTGATCCTGGTATTCAGCGCCACGGACGCAGTGAAGGGCGTTGGCTCGCAGTTCAGCTTCCGTCAGTACGCCTACGAGCGGGACGCCGTTGAACAGGCGCTCTCGGATGCCGTGAGAAGCCGACTGCAGGGGACGTGCTGCGAGCCGTCATGCCAGACCCTACCAGGAGGTTAGGATCGTGAACTTTTCAAGTCACCAAGCTTTTCAAGTTATCATGGGCACTGCACACTTTTGCAGTGGGGTTCCAGTGTTCAAAATGAAGGGAACTACGGAGGGGAAAGTGGAGAAGTCGAAATGGGAGGAGGAAAAGAAGGATTATTTATTATTGTTGCAAGTTGAACGTTAAAAGGCTTTGTCCTCTGAAGAGTGAATCTAAAATGACACACACTCGCAGAAAAACGGCACATCGCCACAAAACTGTGGCCCAGAGCAGGGCAAAGGCCAGGAATTTTTCTCTGGGGAGGTGGTCAGGTCAGGCCTATTAGATTCTTTTAATGTTTGATTGTTGCGGACAGGTGGACGCATAGGTAATGTACTGCATTGTCAACGATGTACAACCCTGATCTTTTTTACCATTAGTGTAATTGCTATTTCACTTAATTCATTTACATTTATTTATCTTGGTGTCGGAGCTGGGGGGTTGACCCTCCACCCCCTGGATCCTCACCTGCAGAAAAACATGAACAAATGAAATAAAAATGTATGTAAAATACTAATTCATACAAGTTTAAGCGAAACGTTTTTGTCTTTTATTTTTATAGGTTGCGAGGCAGGTTGCAAACCGACCCAGGAATGCACCGATCAGGACAGGGGACTTTTTGCCAACGTGCTTTTCTTTCGGTTAGACGCGGTGGACATTCCCGATATTATACTGTCCCGCCTTCCCACTGCCTCGCCTCCCGCAAAGTAACTACCCAAAGCAATGTTGGAAATTTCAGAAACTGCTGAAGATGAAGACTTAGACATAACCATCCTCATACTGTGAAGCGCTTCTTCCATAGAATCATGAATTGAAATAGGGTTCAAACCTTCGACCACATCCGAAGTGTCCGACCTATGTGGCAATCTTCCAGTTTTCATCATCTTCATTGTTCTTTCACGCCTGGTCTTTTTGATAATGATGATCATGTTTAATGATGTCTTGCGCACTTTAAGCGATACTTTTATTCAATTTACACGTGCCTTTCCCGTAAAATATACCCATGTCTCGATGCACAAAGGCGTCGTGAAATCCTAGATGATTACTTACCCAGCATGGCAAAAGTGCTTATCTATGGACGGCGCAATGTGATAAAACAGATTACAACGACAAAATTCCGTACAGTCGAGGCCTAGAGATGGCCGAGGCGGGACCCGTCCAGTTTTGACAGCATAATGGAGCAACCACCGCTAAAACCGTCTCCACGTGTGTCTACCGACTGTGTGGTCAAGTCTGCAAAAGAAACAAAGAAAGTGATTTTTACTGTGCGAGTTTGTTTCGCTGTTATAAACGGCAGTTTTGTGAAATAGATTTCTATCAGAAAAGAGTGCCCGAAAATGTATTTTTCGTCTATTATAAATATATATACAGAAAGTTGTAAACTGAAGCCGTTTTCAACACGTCATCTTCAATTTCAAGTGTTCCATTGCACTAAAGGTTGACAAGGCAGTCCAAAGGAACTGGGTCGTGTTTTTTTGTACGGCAAGCAAGCCTTTGTATATTGTGATTGTATGAACCTGCATGTGTGTAAAGCCATGATATACCTAATTATGCACATTACTGCGACAATGGAATGATATTACACGACAGACATTGAATAATATTTTATGATACTATATGAATATTATATGCATACCATACTTTAAAGCAAACAGCAATAAATATTCTTGAAATGAATATGCTGATGTTTTCAGGAAGTGGATCTCATCAGATTCCTGGCAGTAAAGCATTGTTAGGAACGAGGAAGTTATAAACCTGGAAGAAAAACTCCGGCATTTGTGAAGAACCGCGTTGCGCCCGACAATGCACATATTAATCGAAAACGGTTGAAGTGCACGGTTTGTATGCATTTGCCTTTATCGTATGGTTGATCATCACCGATCAAGAGTGTGATGACAACCAACCCCCTGTTTTACAAGAGCCCATGCCCGTAGCCTCCTGATGTGGAAGTTTTGAAATCAAACCTACAGTCACACCATGTCGAATGCCGCACGTTAATGCACCAGCTGTAATGTAAAAGGGAGACTGGAAGTTCTACACCAGTGTTTGGGTAACGCCCAAGATGTAACTTATGTAACTTGTATTTATCCTCGATTAAATCATACATGCTAGTTCGTTAAACACCTTTATACTCATAATCATCGATTCGAAAACACTCACAGGAGTTTCCTCTTTGAATCCGGGTCACGGTTACCGTGAATATTTCCGTTTGGGTTCAAGTGAAAGAATGCATTACCGTGGTGTTTCCTCCTTTCGGTAGTCCAGCCTTTTCAGTCACGTCACACACGCAGGCAACATTTATGCAGTCAAATCCGCAGTTCGTGTTTGTATTTGCTTCGGTGTGCCATCTCTTCAGCTTCGCGTGAAGGTGGGTTCTGCTGCGCGGTAAATTTTCATTATACAAGGTATGAACATTTACACTCTTATTTTAAAAATCAAGATTTGTGATAGGGAATTGTTTCAAGGACCCCTTAGAGATAACTATGCAATGTTTTTATCCTGCTACAAAAACTAATGTGATGCGTTCACCTTGCTAAAGCAGCCTACATCAGGTCACATGCAGGGCGTGGATGAAGGCATTTAAGTTTTTGAACTGCATCGAAGGAATTTTGTCACATGCCTTTATTTCATTACTTTATGGAGTTTACACATGATGGTGACGTCAGGTCTCTTCGTTGCCAAGGGGTCGCCATCTAACTGGTTTTTTTTTTCAAAGATAGGCCTATGTAATACAAAGCTGTTGCAAACTGCTTGCTGACTACAATGACCTGAAATTTTGAGAAAGATTCTGCTAGGATCGAAACGTCAGGCCCTCCATATTTTGAGATTTCTTTTTTTCCAGTGTGCAATGCTGTGTAATATTAACGTGTTTCAACGTTTCGCTGTAAAGACTGATTAAGCGACCAGAAATAGAAGTCATGCGCCTGCTAGCCACTACTGCCATGCCATCACGCTCGTTTGGCAGGTGCTACGCACGCGTTACATTTCCCTTCAATCAATTTGGTGGTGTAGCCAGCCGAAGTTGCACGCGCGCGTCGAGTTTAAGAACGCGCACGAGTGGGCAGAGTGTATAACAGAAGCAATTGTAAGTCTGTGGGATGGGATATTGTTATGATTGTTTTTTTCCTTTACGGCCACGATCGATGAATGACTTGTGGTGTTTGACGCTGAATTCCACCGTCAGATCAGTCCGCTGACTGGACCGTTGTCCGCGCAGTCATCATGGGAGACGAGATGAGTGGCGTGGTGAAGTGCGTGGTTGGCGTGGCAGTCACCGTGGTTGTACTCATTCTGATCCTGGTCCCTGTGTCCTTTCATGGTGTGGAATATTACGAGGTAAAAATCCGTCTAACCTGTGACAGCTGTTAACGTGTACGATAAGTGTCGTAGCAATTCAAAGATGCTCGTATTCCAAGTGATAATAGTCTTAGTACATACGACAACTGTAATTAATCGATTTTTTAAAATTGTGTCTACTGACCTTAACCGTGCGTTTTTTTTCAAAAAGAAAAGTGAGCCAAGCCATTAGACGGAAGACATCAGTCTTAAAGGGGAGTAGCAATGTTATTTTCCAAATACAAATCATTAAATGTAACCCTTGGGTCTCCGTTAACCTCATTTTCAATGTTAGTTTCACTACTTTCTTGGGTATTTTGCTGCCGCTATAATATTTATGCTAATGAGGCCATAATTATTCATGAGCGAAACTGTTATATTATTCCAGGAAGAAAACGTGAATGTTAGACAGGTTTATGCACAAAAACTGCATTTTGTAAGATTTGGCTGGCCGCTGTACATTTCCTTTTCTTTGTGGATCCACTGTTGTGTAAGTAAAGAGCAATTAGCAAGCAATCATGCCTTGCTCAGAAATATTTTTTTCAATGAGTAAATTCCGGGTTCACTGAATCATGCCTTCTGGGATGATATTACAGCAACAGCGCCATCAATCGTCCGGAAAGCATGATTAATTTAAAATGTTTAAAATCGTGCACTTTCCAATGCATTTCATCTAATGGGGATGCCAAATAGATTTCTTACATTGAAGAGCAATAGAAAGTTTAACGAATTGTGTTTATTAAGAAAAATGCATTTCAGATACTCATATTAATATTACATGTACATGTATTTAAAAAATTTAAGTGTAGTCTTGGAGTCGTGGAGATGGTGAAATAGTCTAAGAAAATTCCTCGCAACTTGGAATACTTGAAATTTTGATACCAGGAAATGTTTGACATTTCCGGATGCGATTAATCGAGTGTATCCCGTATCTTTTAAAATTGTGCAGATGGGATTCGTTAGGCGCAGGACCAGCGGTGCCGTCGATACCAGCTATGTTTACCAGGCTGGGAATCACTATATCGGTTTAGATGCCGAATTCAAGGTGTTTAAAGCCGACGCCCACATGGTGACGTTGGAATCGATATCAGTCTTCACCAAAGAACGACTCGAAGTGAGTGTCAAATGTTGGCTAATCAAGGAGGGCTCCGTGCGTTTAGCTGGCAATTCGCTCGATACTCCTTTGCTTTTCCCATGCCAAACAATTACTTTAGAGTGAAAAAAAAACCATACCCAATTTTTGGTGACTTTGACCGAGTTCCAGAATGGGTAACTTACTCGACTAGAGTCACTGTGAGTAGACTGTACAACTCGATTCAAAACATTTATAGCTCGTTTCAACACCACTACATTGAATATAATGTACTCCACTTGAGGGTATTGAAAAACCTGTCCATGGTCATAATATACAAGCTGGGAAGCAATTAATAATCCCGACAAATAACTGCATGCTAAGACCGTGTCCTCTTAAGTTCATTTAACAGTTCATTTAAAGAGTTAATATAAGTTACTCAAATCGAACTACGCTTATGACCCACACAATGTGACTCGACTTGACCTTCTGGACCTAATGACTTGACTCGGATCACTTTCCAAAGACTTGACTTGAGTCACAAAAGTTTAATGACTCGTTCAACATTTGACACCATCCGTAAATCGATCAACAGGTGAAGCTGGACTGCAATTTCCAGTACTTTCTCCGTCCCGAGGATCTGAAATTGCTTCACGACACCTACGATCTTCAGTACGAGGAGACACTGCAGAACAGTGCTGTGGACGCGCTCAAGGGGGCGACATCAGACTTCACCCCGCGGGACTTTGGCTCTGAGCGCGCTAATATCGAGCAGGTGCTATTCCGCGCCGTTAGGAAGAGGCTAGGGGGAACGTGCTGTAAGCCGTCATGCCAGGACCTACCGGAAGGTGCGTGTCACACCCCACCCCACCCCACGCAACCTCCCAGTATCCTGGACAGTGTCTGCGGACTTATGGAAACCCACATATTGCAGTAGCGGAAGTTGGTGGCACGATGCCTTGCGCTGGGTATTTTGGCTAAAAGAATATACTTGCCAACAAAATTGGGGCACTTTCAGGTTCTCCACGAAAAATCAGCCAAGTAGGACCTGTGCGTATAATAGGGCACTTAATAATAAAATTATGAATTATTGTCGCCAAGACGTAGTTTTCATGCCATCTACTCTCCACATACAAGAAAAAGTATGCAAGAAAAATTTTATCGGAATTTATTAAAAGACGGTGTACATAACTTTGAGCTTTGATAAGTCTGAACTCCTATCACCCACCTATTTGGTATTTCTATCTCAGGTTGCGAGCCAGGCTGCAAACCGCTGGAAGACTGTACCAGTGAGGACAAAGGGTTATACGCCGACGTGCGATACTTCCAGCTCGGCTTCGTTGAGCTTCCGAATGAGGTGCTTAGTCGCAACCTCCAGACGCTGACACAGCTGGAGGATGGGGTGGGAGAGACGTACAGGCAAGAGGAGCAGCTTGTGAGAAAGACTACAGAAGAGTTGGTAGGTTGGGGATAAAACAGTGGTAACTGTTACAGAATACAGAACCGTCACAATCAAAAGTTGTTCACGAATTCTTCTTGTCAACCTATGCAGCGATTGACAACGTGGCGAAGAAAACTGAAAAACGAGAATCTTATTATGTTTTCCGGTTTTCAGAATCAGAGGTACGCGTACATCGTCAGCCGTAATCTCTCATTTTCATGTCAAAAGATTCCGTCTGAGAAAAATGATTTTGACACTCGTTGATTACAGTATCAACCAAATACCCGCCTTGTCAGTGAGTGCATCTCAGTCAACGTGCAAGAAGCGAAACTAATTAAACTCACGTCCGATCGCACCTCGTTTCCGTTGCAGGTCACGATTATCGAAAACGCCGCCGAAGAAATCACCCAGAATGCAACGGCCCAAGCTGCCCTTATTGGCTCGCGGGCTCAGGCCGAATCGCGCGCCACGGTCGAGACCTCGCACAACCTGGGACTGGCCCGGATCTACGCCGACCTGAACATCACAGGGCAAGACCAGAAGGCATCCCTGAACTACATCCGCACCTTGAGGGACCACCAGACCGTGTTCCTGACAGTCAACTTCAACTCACTGGTGACTGGGCCCGTGTACGGGTCGTCAAATTAGCGGGCAGTGAAACAGATGGAGGGGTCGAGAAGTACGTACTTCGCTGATCAAAAATACCAGGACGGTTACGACTTTGCAGTTTTCTTAGTTTGGCGATCGAGGGTTTAAACCCTCATCAACCCTTCCCAAAGTTGGTGAATACGTGTGTTTTAGAATCTCTTGCATTGAAATCGTTTGTTTAATGTGTGCTCAGAACTGCTTCCTGTCAAGATTTTTTTGGTGTGAGCGTGAAAGCTCCTTCCCTGTATCTGTAGTTAAACCCCGGGGACCATAGCTATTGTCGAAGGCAATGGGGACGAGGTTGTGTATGACTGAGCGACTTCATGGGGTTTGTGCATGCATTAAATGATATTTGCTCAATTAAAATTCCCACAGGTATCCTTACATAAATAACAGGCCCAAAGGGAATTTTTGTCAAAGGCCAGTTTTCTCAATGATACTTGTGATAGGCAACCATGATAATTGGAAACCCCTTTAAGATACGTATAATTTGATTGAATTCTACCTGTAGTTTCGTGCATTTAGAGCGCAAGTTAGGCATGCAGTGTGCAAATGATTACCGTAAGTTATTTATTTTGTTCTAATGAACTTAAGCATTGGTAATTTTTCCAAGAAATAATAACGAACTTCTCACGAAATCCGAATTATATACTAGTGACTGATTGTAAAATCGGTCAGTTGTACATTGTGGCTTAACTGGGGTGAAATTTGGGGCGGGGCATCTACCACTTGTTGGGTTGTACAATTTTTTCTCCAGGGGTACAAAAAGTGAATGAATAGACTGATGTATAATTTGTTTTGAAACTTTACGGAGGGCACCCGGGGTCATTGACATTAAACAGATGGGGGGAGGGGGCATGTGCCACTGTAGCTCCCCACAGTTACATCAGCGCAATTACATAGGCTATCCTTTAATAGCTTTGCAATCCTTGATCTTACACTCGGCACATGTAACGGTGCATTTCCACACAGATCAAAATGTTGTTCGTTCAGAGGACCAGTCTAGTACGGGATAACTGTACATTTGTGGTACACGGGAGGGTACCCGCTCATAATAGTGGGTGTATTATGTCAGCTGCGCTCAGAGCAGTTGTCACGGACGGAGTGTAGTCGAGACGTGTCAGAATAACCATGCTGTGGCCTGACAATAGAGCAAACGAGAAATGGCAAAGCAGCCGTCTACTGGCTTCCGTTGGCTGTGTTCACGGTGTTGCCATTTTGGATCATGCTCATCAAATCCGTGTCTGTTTATTAGAACGGTAATTTTCCAGGCCGTTTGCCTATAATTGCCGGTATTACCTCACTTTGAGATGTTATTTGAATGCAGCCAAATTTGGAACTACTCGTTGGAGCACACCCATGGTTATTTATAAAATTTCCCTACTGCATTATCGTCGTTCCCACACACCTTAAACTGGTGAAAATTCGTATTAAGATTGCCTCGCTTTTGATTCAGCTAGCTGACTCTTGAATTAGGTGGATAGGCGTTATCGCTTGCTGTATCCAAAGCTACCCGGACACGTCCTTATTTGGATATTAGCTGGTACAATGTTCCCGCCATTTCGAGCTCCCTGAATTTATGTACATTACATTTAAGGCTTTCCACTCATCTGACTTATTCTAAAAAAGTTGTGAGACGAAACAGTGCTGACAGCTAACTTAAAAGGACTGCATTATTTATCTCATTTGAGATAAAGCCTTCCATGTAATTCTTGTAAGACGTGTTTCCCCAATTTAGGAATTTTCATAAAACCATAGTCCACGATTATCCAATAGTTTGCCATGATGATTACTAAGAATGTTTTTCTGCACGATGAGCCTTTACGTGTCGTTACGTGTCGGCATACGGTGGAAATTAAACCAAAAAATGTGCAGATTTGAAAAGAAATGAAGAATTCACTGTTAAATATGATGCCCAACAAAAAAGGCAGCACAGAAGTTCTGATGTTTTTCTCACAGTGAATTGTAAAGCAAATGAATATCTATAAATATATTTTTTTGTCACAGCAGATTATTAATACCAGAGTACCCCTTCAGGTTTTTACCTCATCAGGACAATATATCACTCTCAATACAGATATTCCGTAACCTGCTTTCAGAGCGACAAACGTGTGCCGACGATTTTTTTCTCTTCTCCAGGAGGGCACGGATTACCAAGTTTCCGCCTCGCCGACCGTCAAAAGTGGAAAAATTTACGCCGCGCTGCGCTCGCTTTGACTCGGCCTGGGCTCCCTTGCTGTTCACCTCGTCGCTTTTTTTCTCTCTGTCTCTCTCTGCCAAGCCGGCTGGGACCGACTTGATTGTTGGATGCCGCCTACAATATTCCTGTCTAAGCTTCTCCTTCTCCTCCCCGCCTGTGATTTTTCTTTGAATGTCTCTGTGCCGGTTTATTCTAAAACCGTGTTTCTTGTCCATCTAAACCCCGATGCAAATGATTTTTCTTTTTGTGGCGGAAATTTTGCATGCCTTATTTGCAAGTGCTTATTAACGCACAACATCGCCGTTTTCTAACGCAGATGAATCAGTGGCACGTAATATCTCGGGTTAAAGCAAAAACTGAAGGAAAGTTTACGCTAATTATTAAAACTTACCGCGGGGCGCTCCAGAACATAAATGTAGAGGGCGCTCGACCGTACAGAGTGCCCTCGTTTGTACCCATGACCCTCAACAGGGTGCTGGCAAAGTGTGATTTCATTGAGTCACGTGACTTTCTTTTCTGAGTTCTTATGGGATAGAATTCGTTCGAATAATTACTTGGATGATGTGCATTGATTTGGGGGCTACGTTCCCACAAAGCTTGGCAACATCCACAATTCTTCATCAGATTTTGTGAAGGGCAACAGCCCTTGCCAGCAGACTCGTCTGTGCATCTCGAACCTTGACATGTACAGAAATAACGAAAGGCAAGGCGAAAAATAAATTCACTGCTTGAAGGAGAAACATGTTTTTCTCCTGCCCTGCCTAAGATATGCACAAGAGGCGGAATCGGTACCAAAGGGATGAGGCGGTTGGGTTTTTGGTTATCATACTTGAAGTGATGCCCGTTCCCCTGTGGGTTTACATGAACACATGGGATGCGGGTGATTCAACCGTACGATTTAAGCCCTCATCCCCGGGTCTGTGAAAAGTAACGCGGCCCGGCTTTGATCTCTGGGCAGTTCTTCCCCTGATTTTTTTTCTCTCTCCCTCCTCCGTGCATTGTGCCGAGTGAGTGCGTGATGAGCTGTGGACAATAGTCGCCCAGTATGGCCCAGCCGCCCCAGTAAAAGATTGCCGCCCAGTATACGACCTGGCCTCGTTCCCCCGCCTTACAAAAGCCGCAGTGACGGGTGACAAATGCACAGCAAAATAATTTCAAATTCTGAGAGAAAAAAGAAAAGAAAACACCGAAAGAGAGAAAGACAGTGCAGCGCTATTCACTGTGATGTCGCCGAATGTCAGTTAACGATATTGAATTTTTATCACGAGTTATGATTTTTTCACTGCGGCATTCTTTGCCTCCTGGGGGGTTTGCCGGCTTAGATTGTCCACCGGATAGCTGTTTCTAGTGGAGAGCGCGTGAATTGTTTGTTCTTGATTGCAGATGTTGAAAATGTGATCCAAGAGCGTCGATGTAAAGAGAATGAATGTGTGAAAACCGTCCTTTTCAGATGATCGTGAAACGGGAATTGTATCGCAGTGTGGAGAGATAACTAGCATCCAAAGACAAAAAAAAATGGGTTAAAAACGCCAACCTAGGATAACAGTCATTTCACGTATTTTACGAATCATGAACTTTTGTTGTGCAAATTTAATTAAGTGCGAAAGGGATGCCATGTACATGTAATATTATTGTTTCTTATTTTTATCGTTTAAATTTAGAGACCGTGGTGGAACTTCTCTATTTTTTTTTTGCAGAGCAATTTGCCGCAGGCAGACAGTACACAGTGTCTGCCGATGTCACGACGCCAGAAATGAACGCGGGTAAGGAGATAGACTTCGACCATCAGGAAGTGACAAGCTTGGGATGGGACTGGACAGATGGAGAAATTCGCCTCAGTGGTGTATCTGCAGCCTCTGGATCCGAGAGCAAACTAGAGAAATCCCCCCGAAATGTATATTTTTAAGGAGTTGTTGCCACAGGGGCAAGTATATTTTGCCATTGATTCGTCATTTTCAGGTCTTGACAAGATTATGCTTCACAACAACCAGCCTGTAGTGATTTATGAGAGCAAATCGGTCACAAATTATGTATATGTATACGTGTACTGTACAGTGTCTTAGTATACAATCGACAGCGCTATTCACATTGCGTCCACGAACTTTTCGACAACTTGACAATGGAAATGAATCGCATCCGTCATTCCTACATACAATCTTATTATTACATGTATAAATGTACTTCGCGAAATTGTACGCCATTACAAATCCTGCATTGGTGTTTTCTTGGTGCGAACTCGGGAGAAAACATCTGCCTGCCATGGGTGAAAACTGAAATCGCTTCTCTGTATACGAGTAAACTCCTCTACAACCCTCCAACCGTAGTTGGTTGAGCTGAGGGTGGCGACAGCCGAGCACCCGTCACTGGGAAGCCGATCGCTGGCCAAATCGGGTACCGGGGCTGGTCACTGACAGGCACTTACCCTACGGTCACTCCCGGGGGGTGTCAATCCTGCCTAAAAGGTTCATCGTACGCTGGGCTTGGGCCACAGCTACCAGCCGGCGGTTCGCAGAAGATAAGATCTGGGGCCGGCCCCCCACCGCAAAGAGCAACACTTGCCGGTTGATGCTTATCTCACCGATACAGCGAGCAGTTATCTTTGACCGAAAGAATGAAAGTTGGAAAAAGAGTATGCATTGTCAGAAGGCGGAACTACTCCCGAAAATCTTCTGTAAATTCTTTTTTTCTTTATGAAATAAATCAGAGGTAGGCTGCACCCCCGCTTCTATACAGACGATTCCGAAGATAACGTTACAAAGAGTTCAGAAAAGGGTCAATGAACGAAAATAGTATTGCAGAGTTTAAGTGTTAATGGATGCTAACAGAAGGTGGGGTTCAACTTTAACCGTATACATGTATATGTACTAATCAATATTTATAAGCGTACGGTGAACCTGTCGCCCCCTGTTTTATGAAGTGGCAGAAAACGAACTTTGTCGTTAAAATTTCCCGTTAACCTTGTTAAATTCCAACCTTTGCACCATGCATAATCTGTGTTCCTTATACAGTATATGTATTCGCAGTGACGAAGAATCGCCGTCTTCTCGTGGAAATTGAGCTTTACATTTGCCCGTACATGTATTTACATGTACACAATTTAAACTTGCATTTCCTTTAAGTACCACTTAATGGTTCGTAAAATTATATAAAATTCGCTAACCTTGAGTTACAAGATATTTCATCTTTAGAGGGTCCATTGACAGATGCTTCTCAGAAACGCATTTTGTGAAACTTTTCCAAATAAGCAAAGATGCCAGATGAAAATAATTTTCTCGCGTGTACACCTTGGGGGAATTTAGCACCACCTTCCTAAGCTTCAAGAAAAGGTGTGCCCACCGTTCCCACCCTGCTGTACTTTTCGGTATTGATGAGGAATATTGTGAAGACCGACAGACGACGACCTCATAACAACTGTTCCTGTGAAATTGGCGCCGTCAGAGGGGAGGGAGTAAAATCGCCACCGTATCTGCAACGCGTCGGCCGCCCCGGCATTCCCCGCAACTCGCCAGAGAAATCGATTCGGCGTATTATCGTGAGATCGTGCGGCAGCTTGAGCGTGATCGCCCGACACCCGCGGAAAACCATTACCGTATCTACGGGGACAGATGCCTATCTAGATGTGTTATCACAACAAAGTGCCGACCAGGGAGAAAGGATGGGTGAAGGGAAATATTACCCGTAGAAAGTGGCGAGGATTGGTCGATGGGGGAACGGGTTAGGGACAGTCTTTAAAGGGGATTTTTTAAGTGCTATGACGATCCATTTACCTACCAGGGAAACCTGGCAAAATTAAAAATGTTCTGACACAAAACACATGTACTCTCCCAGAGAACATGTATTCATATTCAAATTACTACATGTACTGCACTCTGAGTGCATTTTTGTCGCTCTGCCGGCTTTATGATCAGACGTGTGTATCCTGAACTAATCCCCTCCCCGCCCCATAAAAACAACTTCAGTGAACCTTATGCCTATGGAATGAAACTTTAGACGCCAGTATCGCATTTGCTTTCAATTCTGAATTGTTTTTACTGGTGGCCAAAGCAGATTATGTACATGTACACGTTTTCCCAAATCACCGCGGAGTTATTCCTGCTTCCCAATTGCTTCGCACGAAAACCTCTGACTTGTAAAGTGGTTGAGGGTGGAGTTAATTTGATTTGATGTCAAATGAAGGCCGGCACGAAAACAATTCCAAGTTAAAATGTATTCGTAAATTATAAGTATGTCTAGAATATGAAATCAGGACCGAGCATGAGACCATCTACACATCTTCAATGAAAACATTCAAATAATTTAATATTCCAAAACCCTCAGGTCGTCCTTTAAAAGATGAATAATTACTACATTCATTTCAATAAAAAAACAACACAAAAGTAAATGTATATCAAAAACTCCAAATCAGGCGCACGTTACGAAAATCAACCTTAATTGTTCATTAAAGTCAAAATGCATATGCATGTTATTTGGCACAGGTCAAATGTTCGAAAGCCGTTTGGAATTCATAATTCAACTACAAATTCTTTTTAACTGGCAAAAATTGGCAACTTCTTCAGAAGTGAAAATTACGTATCAACTCAAGGGTGGAATGTATGAATTTCCAATAGTGTCACTGGACAAAGTTCAAAAGTTCAGCCACTGCAATGAGATGCATTTCTCAAGATTTAGTCTTAAGAAGTGACATCCAAGATTTCATCTTGCGTGTCGTCCTCACATTCCTCCTCATCGATGAGCTTGGCATCTGCTTCTGCCTTCTTCAGCGAGTGTGTCTTCAGATGCTTGGACAGGTGGTCGCTCCGCATGAATCGCTTGCCGCAGTCGGGGCAAATGAAGCGCTTCTCCCCGGTGTGCGTGCGAAGGTGCCGCTGGAGCTCGTCCGACCGGGTGAAGCTCTTACCGCAGAACAGCCAGTTGCAGACGAAGGGCCGCTCCCCGGAGTGCCAGCGCAGGTGGGCCTTGAGGTGGGACGTCTTGCCGTAGACCTTGCCGCAGCCTGGGATGTGACAGATGTGCTGCTTCCGCTTGGTGGGCTCGCCGGAGTTGCTGGCGTTCTGGCAGTTGGGACACCGGCAACGCCGGCAGCGTCTGGCGGCCAGCTTTGCCAGGGATGACTTGTGGTCGAAAAGTCCAGGGTACTGGTACGGGGAATAGCCGTTGACGGGAGACTGCTGGTGGAATATGGGGCCGGCGAAGCTGCAGAGTCCGGGTGATGGAGGAGTGAGTGGTGAGGAGGGCACTGGGTGACTTGGGGTCGAGACACTCCACCACGGCACTTCTTCTGGAGTGGGCTGCACGGTCAGCGGGATGTTGAAGGAATGAGGTGGGGATAGCATACCGCTAGGCAATAGAGGCTGCAAGTGCTCTAATCCATGAACCCCATGGCAGTGAGTAGACGATGGGCCTCCGGGAAGCTGAGTGAGTCCCACGGGGCAGGCTGAGGCTGGCGGGTGGAACGCGTTGAAGTACGCTGCGGCTGCAGCGACTGAATGCGGACACACCGTCGTTGTGACGGGGGTGCCATGCAGCAGGGCTGGAGGCATGCACCCAGGGAACGGCTCGGCAGGAGGGGTAGGAGGCAGCTCGCACCTCGGCAGGGCAGGCACCACAGCGTGATGCGGTGACAGCGTTGTCGTGCCAACGACCGATGCAGAGGATGCCTGCACGGGAGGAAAGTAGCCCGGGACACGGTCGGCCTTTGCTGGCTGAGTCGCTGCCGGCTGGTGCTGTGCGGGTGGCGCAAGCGAAGGCTTGGAGGCATTGGGCGCTGGGCCACCGATTTTGTTACACGTTGCCGCAAGGAGAGCTAACGGACTGGGCTTGTTGAAGTCGCTTGAAGACTTATCAGGCAACTGCAGATTTGGAGAAGCAAAACAGAAAAGAAAAAATTGAATACATGTATATGCAGCATTCGGAAATGCACAATGCAACTGAGCCAACAATCGGAAGTGCTCAAGACAACATCCAAGTCTGAAGACCGTTTCTTCTGTCGACAGTGGTAAACAACTAATGTAAGTACACGGAACATGAGTCAACTTATATATTCCTTAGCCCCCTAAACCCTTTCCTCAGAGTTCTGCACTATAAGAAAAAACGAACTTCATGTTTGAATAATAAGTTTATATGAATTGCATTTTTCTATCAGTGATTCTTTTACCAACCTGTAAAAACTGAGAGCAGTCCACCTCTGGCATTTTGAACCGTTGAGTGGTTGTAAAAGCTGATGAAAATGCAGAGAAGTAGCGTTGAAAATCCAGCAATGACGCGTGCTGTCAGGACGAGAGCTAACGTTGGTTTGCACGGCTCGGGCAAGCGTCGAGACTGTGAATACAAGCCCACGGCACACTGGGTTGCCGTATTTGTATAGCGCGTGTGAATGAGCGGGACACCGCAGACGACAGCCAAGTGTTTCCTTTCATGTGCCGACAGCCAATCAGCCGTGAGTGTGTGACCCTTTGATGGGTACCGCCGGCCAATCCAGACGCGTGGCGGCCGCGCTGAAAGGAAACCGGACCCATTAGCTGCTGACAAAGATCCTGCCGGGTATTTGTTGACACGAAAAATAACGTTGATTATGAGGAGGGACGGTTGAGGCGGGACAAAAGGCGGGCAAGTTAACCAAGTAATAGGTCCGCACCACTTTTGTGTAAACAAATAATTGGATTGGGGGGGATCAAAGGCGTAGGGACCGACAACCGAGCGTTCTGATTGGCCAGGAGTGCAGTGCCCGCCTGCCAACCAGTAATGATATGCGACGACCATACTGTAAAAAGCTATGATAATGAAGCAGGGGTTTAGCCAGCCAGGGGTACCTTACATTTGGCGTTTTAAAGTTCAGCCGAAGTTATAATGATTACTAGATTAAATGGGGAAAGCAATGTTAACGCCCTCAACTAAATTATCTTTAAGTCCTTGAGCACTGGTGATTTTTAATCGGGGAAAAAGGTAAGTTGTACAGAAAACACCCAGTGGATGGATTTGAGCTCCGGGCAAGTTCACCGTTAGGCCAATGACCGTGGTACTGGTTCTCGTTAGATACAGTCCTATGACACAATTTTGTAACTGATAGTTTTGAGTCACATTCCGATGGTGCCAAAACTCGGCGACTTCGAATTCTCTTCAAACGAGACTTGTGTGGGGTACAGACTTGAGCCATGCACCATGGCAATTTCAAGCAGAAATAAATCAGCACATCCTTGTATTAATTATTCATGAGCGCTCTTAATCCGGGAAATACATTTTCCGTAAATTCGATCAGCTTATACGCGCGGCTGGCCCATCAAGGCCGTCCGGACCACAGTAATCCCAGGATTAGGTTGTTGTGTTGGCGGGTAGTTACCCCGCGGAGTTCTGGTCTCCATCGACCCATGCCCGGTGGTTCAGTCCCGCTGGGGTTCTCGACCTCTTTTAATAGGGCTGGAAAAAAAGACACCTTTCTGGCAGATTACGGAATACATAACCAAGATTTATCCCATGACTCGTGAGGGAATCAGATTTGGGTGGCACTGTATTTCTTATTCCTAAATGCACTAGCAGGCATTATCAGTGACATTTTATTTTAGCTCTCATTCAGAAATGAGGTAGTCCTGGAATGGTTCATGACGAGGAAACGTCTTCAGTGACTTAACGAAGTGGTGTTCAAAAGAACGAATAAAAGAGAAGGAGAAACTGTTCAAGTTCACATGGCCGAAGCAGGCTTAGCAGATTTTCTGCACTCATTTCGTGCACGTGGTGTTCATGCTCAACGCTACCAGCCTCTAGAGTTGCTCTGTACAAACGCGCTCCAACAAGGGATACCCGGAGCATTGGCACCAGGCAGGCACGACCACGCAGGAACCCACTCCATTGTGCGCCTCAACAAGCCCCAGTTATCAAGTGACAATAGTGGGCCGGGTTGTCGGCACCCTCAAAGGGCCCCATTCAACGGGGGAGTTTGTCGCGCTGCGGTGCCCTGTGTGGTGTCGGCGCTCCATAGTCCACTGGGTAATTGACAGCCGAGGAACTGGGTGCATTATCGCCTGCATTGTCCCCACTGTGCCTGAAAAGGGGTACGGGCATTGAACACCACTGGTATCCCGTGCACACAGGATTTTGTTTGGAAGTGACTTGGTTCCATCCTCCATCTGCTCCGTGCTGGGCTTCCTCCAGGCAGCCGGGTCGGAAACTTATCGCAACAGTGTGACTTCATTCGAAATTTTCTCAATTCCAGGGTGGCACCTTCTTTGTATGAAATACTTTTTTCATGGGTGGGACCGTGTGGGGGGGAGGCTAATTCCTACAAGATTGCATACTTAATTTCTGTTATCGCATTGATATGCTACTGGGACTCGTAAAAAGTAATATGTGAACATTATGTATACGAGTCTTATCCAAATTGTCACTGTCATTTACGTTTATTCAGGTAGGTTCTTAATGCTTCGAGTTTTCGTGCATGCAGTAAGTTTCAAATCGCTTTTCCGTGCATGAACCTTCGATTTAGACTCTCAAGGTATTGGCTTGAAGGTAAGGGCCATTCTCATCAGGCGCTAATCCCACCGTTGACCCTTCTGGTCCCAGCCCAATTTGGAGGGGGTCGCTAATTACACCCCGTCTGCCAATTAGCCAACGCACAATGGAAGAAGGGGGTCTCGACACTCAAAGGGGGACGCCGCCTCAACGCCCCCCCCCCCGACTCCCAGGCTGAAAACCTGGCTACGGACTGCACGGAGGCCCAGACCCGACGACAGGGAATTGAAAGGGGGGGAGTAAGCTTCCTCAATTATCGGAGTAAAAAGGGGACAGGGACGGAGGAGGGGCAGACGTGTCCAAAACCAACAAAGCGATCGATGATATGACCCTCGGGTTGATTGCGGGGATTTTCACCTCTGACCCGGCCGCAGTGTTCAGTGGGCCTGGAGTCGATTCTCGATCTCGAACTATAGTCATCATTTGCATCCACAAGAACTAATTTGTTAATCAATGAACTTAGGTCATTTAGTATTTCACGAAAAAGAAACAACGAATTAAGTAAAATGGAAACTTGTATATATTGTGTGAATTTTTCCGTCCATTTTTTGCCGACATTCAAAACCATTTTGTGTCTAAATCCCTCAGTCCCTGGACACTAAAGACTAGCCGGGTGTGTAGAAATGTGTTTACGCTAGATTCTGCATCTAATATTCGGTTTAGTGCGGGGCGATGAACCTCACCCAAACTACGATTGTTTTACCTACATAACACACTGCGCCTTCAACTGAAGTCTAGCACTGGTTTTCCCTGGCTGTTCTCCTCTGTCGACATAATGTGATGCTAAAGATCTTCTTAAAAGCAAAGCCTTTTTCATGGGTCTTCTTGTCTTATGTACATGTATATTGTACGGGATGTATTTTATCTCTCCATCTCGATCTGATCAAGATGCTTCTTGAACCAATACTTCACGTGTTCGCTTCCGCGCTTTCATTCCGCCTTGGCTGGTTCGCGTTATCCAGGGCATTTCTCGCTCGCTTGTCAATCACTCGAGAGCTGATTAAATTAATTAAAGGCAACAGTGCACAAACGGTGCCGCCTGGCGATCCTCCCCCTCCACACGCTGAAGTCAGGGGTCGACTTGGGTCATACCCTAAGCCGCTCCCTCAACCTTCGTTTCTTAATTAGCTCGCCTATTGTGCGCGGGAATTGCAAAGATGGTGGCCAAATTTGAAAATGAGGTAAATGCCTCCGTGGAATACTCCGTGTATATCATCTGCAAATCCGAAGGTTTGTTTCCCTAAAATGATATTGACGAAAGAGTAGCCGTAATATATAAGTTTTTACTGATTGCAATCTGCTCCTTTGTGTCTCGTGATTCCATTCGTGGTCGTGGCGTGAAAAGGTGTTCTTGGTCTTCAGCGCTGGAGTCAAATGTACAGTGTATTAGTAAATGTGACATTTTTCAATCAAACAGTACCCAACAACACTATAATTATAGAAAGTCTGTAAACCGCTTGAGTTCGTAGGGCACTGTAAAGCATGTAACTCCTGAAACACTCCCGGGTTAACAATCTACCGTGTGTAATTATATAGGCAAGTGAGGACACGTATATCTGCGTATAAACATTTATACTGCGATCCTATTCGGATGCTCCACAGTTACAAGTTCATTCCTCAGGCTTGAGAATGTCTGTCATTTAGGGACTTGTAATTAAATCTACTTGAAGCGATTAGGCGGCGCACAGAGGGTTGCCGCCTGTGACAAACACCCCACCCTGGTCCTGGTTACACCCTTTGCGTGTGCCGCTGATCCACCCCCCTCTTGTCAAGGGGTAATTACCGGGTACAAAGGGGGCAGTGGCAGGGGTGAAATGCATCCTGACAAACAAGAAACGCGACCAAAATGCGTCCCCCCGAAAGCGCAAGACTAAAGAAGAAACTTGACCTCTGACATGACCAGTTGATGTCATCAGCGCCTCCTGTGGTCAGGACTGTGTACAGGTACACTATCCTGCTGAGCTGAGTTGCGCATGTTACAACTTCAAATTCATGTTTATGACTGGAGGGGTAACTTACAATGGACATAGAGTTTCAGTTTACACTTGTTTTTCCAACAGTTAGCTGTTTCAAAACCCCTGCACATAACACTGTGGGATGCTTGCTCAGAACTTTATGATTAATCATTTAAAAATCCCCCAGTAGACTTAATGACATGGCTAGTCCAATCAGCCCGGCCAATTAATGATGACTGGATTATCTATATGCTGCAAAGAATTCATTCCATGATTGCTTGTCGTTTATGGGAAAGTAATTAATGCGATGGGGGAGATTAGGGGCAGTGCAGAGGGGAGCCGCCTGCGACAAACACCCCCACCCAACCTAGATCACCACCCTTTGCGTGTGCCGCTGCCCCCATTTCCTTTTGTTCCCCTCATCAAGGGGTAATTATGAGCCATAATGGGGGTCAGGACTCTGGCCAGTAAAGGAATGCCTGCATGAAAACGGTGAAGTAGTACGCATAGTGTGTATATAAATGCACACCCTATCACACTCCTATGAATACAAACGCCTACTCAAAACATTTAATGATGTAAATTTGTGACGTCGTACACGGTGTCACAGCGCCACCAACGATAACGCAAGCTGTAAACACTTATCTCTGAATGTAATGTTTATGATCAAACGGTTGCCCATTTTTTATTATTTATCCCACATTGTTGTGACTAAAAAATTGGAAAGTTGATAGCAACGTGTAATATATTCTTGCCGCACTCGCATACTTTAAACATTTAATGGCTGTAAGAAATAGCTTAATTAGATATTTTGAAAGTTTTTATTTCTTTCCCACATCACCATCATCCTAGCCACTCTGAGTTTCTGGGCGTGCTGCGCGCGCTTCTGTTT